TCATTTCGAAATTATTTTCAACTTTACTGGGTGTTTTATAAAAGCAGGGCAACTCGAAGAAGAGTTTTTTAAATGGAACACCCAGTATTGTTCATTCGGAATTAATTCACATCGCTGTGAAAAAAATTGAAATCGGTTGTGGCGTTGCCAAGTTATAATTGATAAATCTATTTTTACCATTATTGAAGAGTCATGTTGAATTGGGCATGGTATATTCATTTATTCAAATTTCGAAAATATTTTTGGCATACGGTAGGAGCAAGGTCCCACGTATACCAATCCAGTAATTTTGCGACATGTTCTTCAACAAAGTGCTCAATTTTGCATTTAGAATTTTGCAAGATTCAGATGACATTCATCAGAGTTTTTCGAATGGAACACCCTGTATTTTTATTCAACAATTCATTGGGCATGGTATATTCATTTATTCAAATTTTGAAAATATTTTTGGCATACGGTAGGAGCAAGGCTCCACGTATACCAAACCAGTAATTTTGCGACATGTTCTTCAACAGAGTGCTCAATTTTGCATTTAGAATTTTGCAAGATTCAGATGACATTCATCAGAGTTTTTCGAATGGAACACCCTGTATTTTTATTCAACAATTCATTCCAACATCTTTCGCCTTTTTATCGCTGGAAAAAAAATCGGAATCGGTTGCGGTGTTGTTAAGTTATGGACAATTTCCTTATTTTTACTACAATTTCGGGGTAATTTGTACGTCATAGTTCTTTCATTTATTTGTATTGTGGAAATATTGCGTTGCTACGGTATGATCAAATTTGTTTATTGACCATTCATATATTTTATTACAAAAGGAATATTTACAGGCTCTCCAAGTTTGAATTTTTTTCGAAATATTTGTGTAATGACACCTGTCAAACATCGCCACAATCAAATATATCGTGGATTGATTCGACATTTTGCTGAATTCCCTCCCAAAAGCCGCGAAGTAGAGACATATTGTTTGTATCATTATGTTTACCTTCTTCAAGTTAAATGGAGATTTGGATTGTGGGAATAACGACAATAAAAATGGCCCAAATTTCAAAAAATTGTCCTAATTTTCGCAATCCGCATCTTCATTGTTTGAATTGTAGAAGTTGTTTCAAAGACAGGCGTTGCTTTTGGCATGTTTGTTTGTTTCACATATTATTTGAATCATAAGTAACAAGAATACGGAATATTTCAAATTTGGACGATGCACATATCACAAAAATACCTGAATGATATAATGAAGAACCTCGAATGTCATGTGGCAAGCAATATTCCCACACTCAAATAAAATTGGAATCATCATGACGTACAAATTACCCCGAAATAGTAGTAAAAATAAGGAAATTACTCATAACTTGAAAACGCCGCAACCGACTTTGATTTTTTTTCTGCGATTAAAAGGCGAATGATGTCGAAATAAATCTGTTATGAAAAATACAGGGTGTTCCATTTGAAAAATTCTTATGATCGTCGTCTGAATCTTACAATATTCAGAATGTAAATTTCAGCACCCTGTAGAGGATTATCTCGCAAGATTACTGGATTGGTATACGTGAGACCTTGCTACTACTGTATGCCAAAAATATTTTCGAAATTTCAATAAATAAATATACCATACCCAATTGAACATGACCCTTCAATAGTAGTAAAAATGGATTTATCAATTATTATAACTTGGCAACGCCGCAATCAAATTTCGAATGAACAATACTGGGTGTTCCATTTGAAAAAACTCCCACCCAGTATTGTTGGAAATATTTCCGAAATGAGCAACTTTAGTAACTGAAAAAGTTTTTTCTCCAAAGTTTTTTCTTGTGATAATTGATTTCGAGATATCGAAGAATTACGCACTAAATGGACTCACTGTACAAAGTACGACCATTTCAGCGGCTCTCTACTACACTCGACGACTTTGTTGAAAATCAAACACCTAGACAACGTTTTGAAGATCAGGTATTCATTTCCATTATCGATAACGTACTGTCAGCTTCAACTAAAAGTTTGAAAGCAATAATTCATAAAATTACTAGTGTTTTTGGAGTATTTCGACAGCGAAAGAGATTTTGGAAAAATCCTCAATAATGGTCAGTGCTCACACAGATGATTTGGAAACCAGCCTAGGCGACGAATTAGTGTAGATCGTTGAGCTGCTCAAAACGAATGTGAGTACTGTCATTCAGAATACCGAACAGGAGTCTCTGGAACTACAATTTTATAAACGTTCAATGAATAATTTTTTAGAATCATGTTTCCCGAACATAGAAATTACCTTGCGAATTTACGAGTATCTCATGATTGCTAACTGTAGTGGCGAACGTTTTTTTTTTCAGTATTAAAACGTATTAAAAATGAGTAGAGGAATACGATGGACCAAGAACGTCTTACTCATCTCACTTTGATGAATATAGAGCATGATTTGCTTGAAGAAGTCGATATTGAAAGTGTTATCTATAAATTTGTCCATATGGGTATATCCAGAGAAGTTTATTTGTAATAGTTTCGTTTTATTTTATTTATCACTAGGCCAGTCATTGGGGATTTTTACCTGGAAAAAAGTCCGGAAGTTTTGAAACTTTGTAGGATTATAGTTTTGGGTGTCCAGAACTGAAATTCACAAAATGCACATTCCGGGACATGCCGCCGGCGCCGCCATCTTGCCAAGATGGCGCTCAAAAACTGTTTTTTGAAAATATCTCCAAAACGGTGCGTGTTTAAAAAAAATATGAGGACAGAAAAATTAAAGATGAAGAAATTTACTACAAGAAATGTTCTCAGTATATTTTTTCTGAAGTGAGCCGTTTAGGCCCAAGAGCTGATTGAATGACATCATATTCTGTTAATTTCAATAAACTGCCCCTAACTATCTCCAAATATGCGTATAAATTTATCTTTTATAATGAAACGGGCTATCTAATTGGTTTCTCGTTATATTTATAGCTTGCTGACAGAGAATATTTCCTATAAAATATGTTCCTAGAATATTCTCGCTGAAGTACCTTCGTTAGCGTAGGTTTTCTGTAGTGGCGAGTTTCGGAAATAATATGTGTATTAGGGGTCCCCAAAAATGAAACGGTGGATATCCATTATTCAATTAATCGATGAATTCATCAATTAATCCATGTTAATAATTTATGATCAATCAATTTCGATTTTAAATGCTGTACTTGTTTCCACACCACCCAAGAGGCTAAGTACACGGCGCGTTTTCTTTAACGTGGTTTCCCCTGTAGTCCTAATCCACTCAGGTACTGAAATTATTTTTGGCAAAGGCCAGACGGACCTGGCTCGTTGATTTCGATATATTCAACGGACAAACTGGTTACCTCAGCTCCAGAATCGATGTTAATTTCCTTCAACTCGTCGGATTCTTCTTCTGCAGTCGATAAAGAATCATCATGCAGCGAATGGAGGTCTTCTTCATCGGATTCGTCCAGTGTCACTTGGCTGATATTTTCACAAGTTTTCCCGTTGCAGACACCGCAAATCATCGAACATCGCAATCCTGCTTTCCTGCATCCGCAGGCTCTACCACAAGCCGCCTTGCACTTACAAGATAAAAAAGCAAGTAGTGCTTTGGAAGCAGGATCTTTCAAAGTAGTTATTGGAGTGAGGCCAGTTTGTGTTTTCTTCCAACCCCATTATTCAACTTCTTTCGGACAACCACGCCATAGTTGAACCTGATAGTACGTTCTCATTCTCAACGAATGCTGTCGTGCAGCTGCGCTTGTCGGTGGTAAAGATGCCAAATTGAATTTACTTTTTGTTATACCGACTTCACGAAACACTGGTATCGATATTTATCAAGATTGGTGTAATTTGTGTCTTTGAATCCATAGAGTGCAAGGAAAAATTTCTCACCGGCAAAGGCAACTTGATCAGGGGTGGCATGCTCATTTTTAAAAACTTTAATATGATCTTGTAACTCTTCATGTTTTTCTAATGTTGTTAGAAACTACATTTTTCCGTGGTTAAATACGGTCTCGCAATTTTTTCATGTCCGTTTTTCTCGTAAAATTACTGATTGGTAAATTGTGTTCGTTAGGAAAGGTAATTTAGTTGATGAAAAAGTTCTTGTGTTTCTACCGTTTATAAAAATATCTCATCTGAAATATATATTTTGTGTATTTACTCATATTGGGATGGAGTGGTAAAGACAAGAAAGCAAAATTACAAATTTCTATGAATTTATGGGCGGTTTTACAGTACGAGAAGGTACCTATATCTACGGATACATAGTATAGGTACGAAATTTACTCAAAACCATCCTGCACCCACATACTTCTGGAGCAAAGTCGCCAGATTCGTCGATAATGCAATTTTTATATCGCCCAAATAATCGCAAGTCACAAATGCAAAATTTTTGTCGCATAATTGATCTAAAAATCGTCCAATATAACGAGGAACAAATTGAATAGCCCGTTTTATTATAAAATATGAATTTATACGCATATATGGAGATAGTTAGGGGCAGTTTATAGAAATTAACAGAATATGTTGTCATTCAATCAGCTCTTGAGCCTAAACGGCTTTCTTTAGCAGAAATATGCTCGGGACATTTCTTGTAGAAAATTTCTTCATCTTAAATTTTTATGTCTTCATATTTTTTCTAAAAACGCACCGTTTTGGAGATATTTTCAAAAAACCGTTTTTGAGCGCCATCTTGGCAAGATGGCGGCGCCGGCGGCATGTCCCGGAATGTGCATTTTGTGAATTTTAGTTCTGGGCACCCAAAACTAAAATCCTACAAAGTTTCAGAACTTCCGGACTTTTTTCCAGGTAAGCCTTATTTTGGATCCCCAATGACTGAACTACACTCTAAACTTGATAACCTAAAGCAAACCAAGGGCCCCTTTATAGAATTTGCTACAGGCCCCGCGCTGGCTTAATCCGGTTCTGCAAATGACTGTTGATTGTTTGATTTCAGCAAGAAATCTCATTGGTTAATACGCGCCTAGTATTTATCAATTTGAAGGTACTTGACCTTGAATTCAAAAATGTTCTTCTTTGATTCCTAATGAAAGATGTTCTGTCTGTGAAAATCTCGCAGAAAATCGCTGCTACGTCCTTGAAAAACATGAATATACGTATAATCTCATAGCCGGAATACAATGATTCACAATCAAGGAAACGAGTCAGACCGGTCAAACCGACTGCTGTGATAACTGCTTCGAAGGAAAAGATGAACCCCCTTTTTTTTGGACGAAATAGAAGCGGACGGATGTCCTGGATTCTGGAACTGGGAGGATGGAGGATTGGATCTATCTGAAACGATAAGAGCGATAACGGTTCCCCCAGTTGCCGGGGGTGTACTCGTGACTAATAAGAGGTTATTTGTTTATATTTAGTCAGAAGGTGATGTGTGGTAGTGTAGCGATGTTTTGTTCATACCCGAAAGTGAAGTTGTTTCGTCATCTATCAACAATATCTACATAAAAAACTGGTAAGAACTTGAATAACCGGAATTAACGTTTCAAATAAACTTCTCAACACATGCAACGTAAAATTAGATATTTTAGATCAAACTTGAATTCTAATTACTTTTGATTGCCTCAACCGATTTTCAATTGTTCTTCAGTTTTTGAATGCTCGTTTCATGGACTATCGAACTTATACAGGATGTTGCGAAATTCGACCGACAACGCTTGACAGGTGATAACTCTCGTGATTTTATAATCACTGAGATAGGGACATACGGTCTTCAAGTGTTCAGTTCTCGAGATACAAGACGTTGAAGTTAAGAAATATAAATAGTTGTTTCTCAATATCTATCGGTTTCCTCATAAAAGAATGCTTCGAAATTTTCTTGCTCGTCGAAACAAGAATTTAACTTTTTTATTACTTCATGACATGATTGTTGTTTTAGGACCACCCTGTATATAAGAATGTGTTGATCATGCATCATCATTCTGACCACCGTTCGAACTAGAACGACAAAAACACAAAGCCAATAGAAATTACAGCATCAAATTATGCATTCTCTTACAAATATTCATATTTCAGTAAGGAGTATGACAATTTCGAAAATTTTAAGACAGTACCGAGAAAACATATGATGCGATATGTTTTTCACCCCAAACAAAATTTGCATATATGTTCTTCCAAACGGAAGAAATTTGAACATTTTGGAAAACTGCACATCTATGGTTATCATCCTGTAGAATCTCATTCCAAAAAGATGTAATAATCGAGTCTTAAAGTTCGATAGTTAATGAGACGAGCATTCAGAAACTGAAAAATAATTGAAAATCGGTTGAAGCAATCGGAAGATATGATGATTAGAATTTGATCGAAAAAATGTGATTTAACGTTTCATGTGTTGAGCAGTTTATATCGTCCTACCTATAACGGGTGATACCGATCTGTGATATTTTTCCTTTGAAGAGGTATAATTTTCAAATTTACCTACAGGATGAATACAGTATGACCAAAATAATGTTGCAGTGTTTTATATCATAATGGGTATCTGAGAACGGTAGAAAATAAGAATTCGAATAATTCCGTGGTTCATTCCAATGCAATAACCTTCAAGAATTTTGATATTTGAAAAGTTTTTCAACTACATCAAAAGAATTGAATTTCTGGAAAATCTATTCCTTTTTTTCACGATGTTATTGGAGATATAGCAAAACTGAGAATACTTTTCTATTGCAACTATTTATGAGATTTAATGTAGATGATTTCTCTATGCATTTTTTTTAGAACCATCATCGTTGGATAATTCAGTGATATATTTTTTTCAGTATTGAATAACTATTCTTATCAATATTTGACTCTTAATGATCAGAAATGAGTAGAACGAATGATATGTTGTCTTTGAAAATTTCGAAAAAAACATTAAATATGCTAGATCGAAATATATTGTCACGAAAGGATATTTTCCAAATTATTCTCAAATATTACTACTACTATTATTATTATTATTTCACTGTTCTAATTTATCGAGTTTGTTATATTTCTCAGCAATTCAACTGTCCTCATTCGTGACAAACATTTTTCAATAAAATAAACATTTGAGGTGATCGATCGGGATCCACGTACCAAGAGGGACTTGACTTTTGGTCCGAATAGCGGACGGTTGCTTGTGGCAACGGGGATGTCCCAATTGGGACATCCCCAAGTTTTTGTATTAGATCATTGTAAGTACCATTTTTATTATTCATTAAACCTTCCACCTAATGCCTCTTCAAGGAATGTCAAAATTGTAATTCATCATTAATAAATCCTTATTTCCTTTTGTTGTTTAAACTTAAGTACTTTTTAATTGAGTATCAACCCTCAGCAAATCCCAACTAGCAAAGGCTATAAGTCACATTCGTGACAATATTCAGACCCCTCTGATAAATACATAGTTGTATTCAGAAGGAAAAGAGCTTTCAGAAGAAAAAGTTGATGATAGTTGATAGTTCTACAACTACAAAACGTCGTTCATATAGAAAAATCACTATAACCATGTTAGATCCCTTCAAAAGCTGCTATATAAAAAGTATTTTCAGTTTTTCTGTATCTCCAATACGTTAAAAAATTATACAGATTTTCCGAAAAGTCACTTTTTTATATAAGTAAGTGAACATTTTTAGATATTTTCGAAGGCTGTTATAACCTACCGTTTCGGAGATCCCAATTCTGTGCAAGTTTATCTTGGTCACACTCAACACTATCCAAGGCGATTTCTCTGAATCGAATGACAACTTTTTTATTATAGGAAAAAACTAACTAAACACCCTGCAGCTCCTCATCGAATCCCATTTCATTTTTCAAAATTTGGTTTGTCAAACAAAGTAGCCGAATGGACTAGTTTTGTTTTTTTTATTTCTTGAATAAAATCATCTCTCAAATACCTTTCAATTTCATATTTTTTTAGTTTTTGTCGTTCGATTTTGAGGTGCTAAAATCAATAATAATGCCACGGTTATTTTCAAACGGTTAAAAATTTACCGCGAGTAAAAACAGACGTCACGATTTCTTAAGTGAGGACAGATCATAGCACAGTTGCCAAATGTGTAAATACGATTGGAACTTCAGAAATATAAGTTATTCAATAATTCATGAATTCCAAATTTTGTATTGGTTATATTCCTAATTAGACATAAAAAATCAATTGTCTCAAAATATTTCCTCATCTGTTGTGGCTTATTGCTTCTAATACATTTGTGATAATAATAATATTATCATATTAATTCACACTAGAGGGCATTTGAGGAAAAACTTGACAACAAGGCGCACGAATTGTGGGCGGTGCCTTGTTAGTTCTCAGCATTCACCACATTGTTCTTCAACATCAACATGATATTTTGTTATGGAGTATAAGAGATATTTGGATATGCTGGTTACTGGAAAAGGGTCAAGAATGAACTATATCATGGCTTCCTCATATTATGTTTTATCTCGTGTTTTATCTAACGACAGGACTCTAATCTTTTTGATAAATTGATTATAATTGGTGACTTTACAACCTTGTTTCATGAGTGGACACGTAAAATTATCTAACCAATAACGAAACAGCATAAAATCTGACATCACCATTTATTCGACGTATCGCCAAATTGTTGTTGTGGCAATGACGGTACGTTTGAAATGTGCTCCGAAATTCAACAATTTCGAACAACGCATACACTCATTATTTAGATGAAAAAAGTGTTAGAAGTGTTACAAAAATTATTGAATGCCAATAATTCATTATCAGTCCACTGAGAAGTAGGCAATAATTATTATTACACCAAGGTAGTGCAGAATATCATTAATACCCAGGGACCAAGGTATATTTTCCTTTTTTTTCACCACTAGTAATACATTTCAATAATTTTAGTCCTGTAAAACTGAAATATGAACCCATTGTCACTATGTCACTATCGGGCGATTATCCAACAAAACTAAAGACGGGAAAAGTTGTCCCCATTCACAAAAAGTCGAATGCCTCACTAATGACAAACTATCGACCAATCACTATACCCTTGTATTTCTCAAAAGTTTCGAATATTCCTTTATTGAACGGTTCTTGAATTTTTTTTGAAATTAATAAGTTATTTTTTTTATTTTTATTTAGAGTCAACATGGATTTCTCACAAATAAATCTATCAATAGCGCTACTTTATCATTTTATGAGAAAGTTATTGAATCATTCGAAGCAGGAGAATGTCCTGTTGGGATCTTCTGCGATCTTAGCAAGGCATCTGACTGCGTTCAACACGACATCCTGTTTTCCAAATTGTATAGGTACGGAATACGAGGAGTAGCTTTAGAATGGATCACATCTTTCGTCAAGAACAGACGACAATATGTATCAATAAACTTTGAAGAAAATACTTCTTACCGAAGAGTAAATTCTGACTACCAAGCTGTTGGTGTAGGAGTACCTCAGGGATCTGTTTTGGGACCTATTTTGTTTCTATGCTATATCAACGAACTGGATAGTCTCACCAATAATTCGCATTATGTAATTTATGCTGATGATACTACTATACTCATATCAAACAAAAATGACGATAATCTATCGGAACACTGCCACAACGTTATGGATACAGTGATCTCTTGGTGTAGTGTTAACTCACTCCTCTTTAATGTAGAAAAAACTAACGTAATGAGATTTCATCATCGGCAAAAACGTTGTTCAAATATGTTGATGTTGATGAGTTAACATTCCTAGGAATCGCCATAGATGAATGTTTAACATGGAAATACCATTGTAAAAAATTGATAAAGAAACTTAATTCTCGGAGTTTAAAAACAATACTTACAGAAGAACAGTTGTTGTTGCTCTATCATGCTCAAGTTTCCTCCCGAATCCGCTATGGTATACATTTTTGGGGTAACTCCGGATGTTTTTATTGTACAGAAAAGGATTATAAGAATAATAGCAGGCAGGCAGAATAATAGTAGTCAACAATCTTGCCGAAATATTTTTAATAGCCTTAACATTTTAACTGTCATTGGTGTTTTTGTATTTGAATTATGTGTTTATGTATTTTTGAACAAAGAAAAATTCATTACTAATAGGAATATACATGGTATAAGTACAAGACAATGTGACAATTATCACATTCCAATGTGTAAATATGAGATTACACGTAACTCTCCCAATTACTTTGGACTCAAAGGATTGACAAGAATGAACACCGTCAAAGTATTGAAGAATGAAATAATAGAAAAAAAAACTAGGAAACGAAAGCTATAATAATAATGGGAACATTGTTTGATTTCAGCAAAGAAAATATGGAAGGAACCATGGCAGCACTATTGAACTTCAGAAATGGCACCAACCTTAGCATAAATGTAAACGACACAGTAGACATCAATGATTCAAGTACCAAAGCCAAGTTTCTATTGTACGACTACTTGATACCTTTGATAGGATCGCTTATAATTGTCATCAACTTAGCTGTTGTCATATCGAGTGGACTTATTTTAAAGAGAGGTAAGCATTTACTTTATACACGATCGGACATAGCACCTCAGCGCACTATAGGACGATGAGAAGATATAGCAGGCAACTGTTAAATCTCATAACTAAGATATCTAGGATGAACAGAGTTGCCCCAATTGTCAGCAGGAGCGAGACAGTACTGTTTCGACCCACCAGGTCTCATCAGCCGCTCTCGGTCTGCTGAAAAATGGGACAACTCTACGCTTCGGATATATCACCCATTTCGAAGACGCAGGGTATAACATGAAGTTGTAGTCATGTTGTTGCCATCTTGTGGCAAAGCTCTAAGGTATGATGCAGATATCGCGATACACACTGTAATGCGCTGCCATCTATAGTCACACGCTACTGCTGACAATTGGGGCAACTCTGTTCATCCTAGATCTCTTAGTTATGAGATTTAGCAGTTGAATAGGTGGTGGAAAAATTCCACTCAAGTATGTCAGGTAGTGCCATCTATCAGCAGAGTGCTTGTAGTACCACTCTGTAGCTTATAGACGTAGGGTTGTACGTGTGACTATATATGGCAGCGCCATACAGTGTGTGTCGCGATATCTATATCCTACCTTAGAGCTTTGCCACAAGATGGCAACAACATGACTACAACTCCATGTTATACCCTGCGATATAGCAGGCGTTAAAGTAGACGGTAATAGTAAATTACGTAAGAAGTTCGGAAAATATTGTTTTTTTTTTTGGACGGGTAGACAAAATTCTAGGCAGAGCCGTAGGCGAGTACTGGAAGTGTGCTAGTACAAAAAAACTGTTTTTGGAAGTGTTGCGTACACTATTTTTCCGGCAACCATATAGAATAACAGATCAATGACACACATTTCCATATTATATTTCTTTGTAGAATACAATGTCTTCTTTATTAATTCTCATTTGTATCACATACTGAAATTTGAACAGAATACCTATACCTACCAACTGTTACATTCGAAATTTCGTATGGACATTTTCAAACTCAAAATCGCAGCTGCTTTTGATTTTTTATTGCGATAATTGCAACCAAACTTCAAAAAACCGAAATGTCAACTGATTTCATATCAAATAGCTGTCAGCCGATATTTCGCTGGTATGGTAATTATCATCTGCATTTCTCAAAACCATATCTACCTAGATATCTACGAAGATGTTCATAGTTACAGTGACAACAACGATGTGATACTTCCCGGCCTAGTCCAGAAAGTACGTACTTCCCAGACTAGGCCGGAAAAAGGATACTTTCTCAAAAAAAAGGCGTCCGGGAAGTGAGCACTTCCCGGACGGTTGCCTAAAAAGGAATTTTACAGTTTTTTTTCAGTAATTTCTGGTAATCCTTTGGATCTTTATTCACCAATAGCATCAAAAATTTCGCTAAATAATTCAGTCATTAAAATGTTGTACTGAATCTCGGGCGTATTCATCTTAATGTACCTCATTTCGCTCGGTCATTTCACACACTTGACACAAAAATAACAAATTCATGTTTGTGAAAAAATCGTGATATTTTCATATGGCTACTTCAGAATTAGAAACCAACTACCCGAAAAAAGGAATAAAATGAATGGAATATTCATGCTAGATTTATAGGGTGAACTGTCCCACAGCGAATCGCCGTACAAAGTGAAACATTTCTAATTTCACACCTACCAACCTACCATTATATGGAGAGAAGAGCTGATCTATTACGATCTATTACGTCACAATATCTATATCATCAACTGATGTTCCCGTATTTTAGTTGATTCCAGAAGACGTAGTAGGTAGGTGAACAAAAATTCATTATTTCATTCACGTTATATATTTTCAATATTTGCGTGTTTATTATTCGATTTTATGTATCATCGGTTTGAATAAGTTATTTACAATACAAGTGCGGAAAGTAGTAATTTTCTGCACGCGACGGCAGTTGCACGAACGACGCGGAGCGGAGTTCGGGCAAGCCGTCAATGTGGAAAAGATATTTTCCACAAGAGTTAGGTACAATGTTTCCCTACGAGTGTATTTGTCCATATTGTTTATGATAAAAAAGGTTATTTATAAACAAGATTTTATAATGATGCTACAAAATGACAGATAAGACAGAATAGTTACATAGATCATTTACGAAACTTGGAAACCGAACAGGGGAAGGAATATTGATGAGCTGGGGCTTCAATATAAAGGAACGGAATGGGGAATATTATGAATAATACCCACGCGGTAAAAGTAATTTACCCTCTCGTGATTTTTCAGAAAAGCTCACGTTAAATTGCCAATGAAAGTCAGTATTCGAAAACAACAACAAAAAATATTCGGCAAGATCTGAGCTCCCGTGGTATTACCCCCGGTAAAATCGTGCGGAAAGTAAAAATCGTGCGGGAACCATAATATATGGTTCAATATGTATTGACTGGTTCACTGTGTCACCGAACATAAACATAAACTGTTTATGTTCGGTGACTGTGTACTATGATACCCATCTACAAAATATCTATGCAAGCAGCGAATTATTGTTCGATTTATCTCACTACTTTTTGTTCCAACTGTCACATATTATTCAGTTTTTGTATTCTTTCAAAAATATATTGTTTTTATGTATTCACCTTATTTTCTTACTGGTTCATTGTGAATTCATCAACTAATTCACTATTTCCATAAGACGGTGCACTGTGAACGAATTGGAATATTTTTTGAAAAAAAAAATATATTATTCACTTTGTTGAATTGAACGAATATCTCCCTCCTATATCGGTAATTGCACTGCAGAGCGAAGATTGCACTGCGAAGAGATCACGTCGCCATAACAACACATTTATAAAGCCATGCCGCTAGACGCCAGTAAACAATACTAATAAATATCAGATGGACTTCAAAAAGTGAAAAAAATGTCGCGTTTTGGTGAGTGCTCTATACAATCTATCCAGGAGAGTATAGACGAAAGTGAACCAAAAAATACCAAATCCAACAGACAGAATTCCTTACTTCGTGAAATATTCCTCCTTCTTCGAACTCGGACTCTTTCGCAAAAATATGAAAATAAACTCCTGCAATTTTTAGTTAACACTGTTTCTTGCAAAATTATCGGTAATTTGTATGCACTCGTGCAATTAATTATAACCGATAACCTCCATCCTGTATGATCTAAGCCGATAACCGTGGCTGCGCTTTTATTGCGAATAAACTACACCTTTTCCAGATGTATTTCAGAAAGCGTCAATTTAATTTCAGAATAGTCAATTCAATTTCAGAAAGCGTCAATTGTATTTCAGAATAATCAATTCAATTTCAGAAAGCATCAATTGTATTTCAGAATAGTCAATTGAATTTCAGAAAGTGTCAATTGTATTTCAGAAAGTATCATTTGAATTTCAGAAAGCGTCAATTGAATTTCAGAAAGCATTAGATGTATTTCAGAATAGTCAATTGAATTTCGGAAATCGTTCTCTATAGACTGAAAGCCAGCGACCACCAGACGCCATTTCAACAAGGTTGATATTTTCCATGTGTGTTATACCTTATTTGGTGGAATCGTTTTGGGGGTTGAAAATCTTCAGTGCTGGATGAGCTTTCAAGAGATACCGGGTGTTGAAAGTACAAGAAAAAACTGGCAAAAACATCATTTCAACAAAAGCTGATATTTTTATGTTCAATCGGATCCTATCATGAAAGAGAATATACAATTGCCAGACACTTTATTCCACGGGGTGTTCTCCTGCCAGGCAACTTTATAAGTCGTGAAAATATCTTGACATTCACGTCATAGCAACAGAGCTTGATCTTGTGAATGTTATTGAGAAGCCTATTTTACAGTATCCTGCAAACAGTCAGTCACTTCCGATAGGACAAACATGTAAAAATCAGAACTTTTTTATAGCAATAGAAAGAAGTTTATCTCTGATGGTCCCCTCTATACCTGACATTCTGTAATCTGTTCATCAAATAGTATATAGGTACCTAAAGGAAAATAAAAAAAAATTGGGGTGAATAAATGGAAAACATCACTACAGGAAGCACTGAACATCCTATGCATTCTTACATGGAGTTCACTTTCTACTAACTAATCGATCTTGATACTTTCTGAAATTCAAATGATATTTTCTGAAATACAAATGACGCTTTCTGAAATTCAATTGACTATTCTGAAATACAAGTGGCTATTCTGAAATACAATTGACCCTTTCTGAAATCAAATTGACTATTCTGAAATACAATTGATGCTTTATGAAATTGAATTGATTATTCTGAAATACAATTGACGCTTTCTGAAATTGAACTGACTATTCTGAAATACAATTGACACTTTCTGAAATACAATTGACTATTCTGAAATACAATTGATGCTTTCTGAAATTGAATTGACGCTTTCTGAAATACATCTGGAAAAGGTGTAGAGTAAAAATGAATTGAATCATTTCGGATATAAACTATATCATCGGCGTTCATTATAAACAAAATCGGTTCACTGTGGGACAGTTTACCCCACATATTATATGTAACTGAAACAGAAATTAATTTCCTCATTTATGATAGGGGAGAACATACACTAACCAGAGTGTCAACTTCCCTAAAATTGACTTCAATCATAGATTATTCCAAAACACATATCATAAACATTTTGTTTATAGTGGAAAAAATGGAAGTAGATGACAGTAATACTTGGTCCTTGATTTTTAGGTCAACAACCAAGATCCACGTATCTATTTCTGGGTAATGTGGCTATGAGTGACTTAGTTACAGGAATTGCCGTAGTTTTTGGTCAGATATACCCTGTGGCAAAGAGGGACCATTACGTTTGTGCAATTCAATTGGGTGAGTATAGTTGCATTTTAAATAATAATGATAATAATCAGTTTGTAAAAATTGAATATACAGTGTGACCCACTTCTAATGGAAACACCCCTGTATCTTACGTAATCGTTGGATAAGGATCCTGAAATTTGCTGGAGCGAGAGATATACCAAAAATGCACTCTATGACCAAGTGGGGTCATCTTCAGTGATATACACTGCTCGCCAACAGCCATGGAACCACCACAATTTCCGGAAATTGATATTAGGAGTCAAAATAGGTCGAATATCACTTCAGATTCGGAATCAGTACGTCCAATTCACTATCTATTCATATTTTTCATGGACAAATTTTCAGTTCTGAAAAATAAAATTTTACGGAAGCACCCCCGCGATAGCCGCAAAAAGATATATTGTTTAACGAGCACGGAATGATAGTCATTTTCCACAAGAATGAAGTTGCGGCATGAGCCATAGGAGAATGCTGCAATCATACGAGTGGCAAATTAGCATTACAGCGACATTTTTTATTTCTCCGGCTTGTAGCCATCTGATTTCCTCTTAAGTAATGCTGATCTATTCGACAGAGCTGTCGTTGCTTGAAATTTGACATTCCATGGGAGATGAGATTTTCTGAAATAATAACACAAAGAAGTCATTGTGATATCAGATACAGAAATAAAATTGACGACATACAAAGTTGATTTATAGATGTATATAGTTTTCATTAGGTATTAGATTATTGTAGGGGTCAGATAATTCATACGACGCTATAAAAGCAGATGATATTTTATAATTGCTCATGTAAGATGAAAGTAGAGGCCATGGCACCATATCATGAGCATATTTTTATATTGAATATCATTGGGCACCAAAGATGTGTATACGACGCTATGAAAGTTCAGAGAACTGGAGATTTTTCCCACAAACTACGTACTTAGCCCACTCGACTGTCTTGGTTTTTGAAGCCTCATCTCTTGATATTCATATGAGAAATGTTACGTCACCGGTATTGGAGTAAAGACGTAATGGACGATTTTTTCAAATACAAATAGAGGTCATGTGACACCTTGATTGAAAGGTCTACCGATCGTCTATTCAACAGTCAAAATGTTGCATAAGAAGATTGAAATTAAAATGGATTATCATGTGATTAATTGAATCTTGCAGTGGTCTGCTACTAAGAATTGAACATTGAAGGGTCGTCTAGTTAAAAAAAATACGTCGAAAAAAAAGTTCTGAACTCTAGTTTTTGTTTTTTTTTTTCGAAAGTCGTCTTGTTTTGAAATGAATTTATTCCATACATTTGCATCATACTGTATATTGAATTGAAAGGATTTCAAATTTTGATGTTTTGTTTTTCCATTTTCCAATGGATGCACGAAAAAATGGTGAAATAATAATTTGTTGCGTCATCAAAGAGGCATACGGTGCATTTTTCAAATTTGGATTTAGTCTATTGTTCAGGAGATATGTTGTTTTGAAGCAAACCGTGTTTTTCTGAAAATCCGAGGGAAAATCTCCTTGAAAAACCCACTTGGAATTTTCCGACCCTGCTCAATTTCAATAGGCTTCGTCTCTCCCTGATAGAGTTTTTTTTCACAAAAAATAAAATCGATCGGACCACTTTTGCGAATTGTAGAGTGGTCACAAGAAACTTCCGGTGAAAAATCGAAAAAACCCGGACAAACCACCTCAGAGTTTTCCGATTTCCTTCATATTTTAATGACCTAATATTGTTTTGAGTACAATAAGATGACAAAATTTCAAGTCGATATGTCAAAGGGTTCTGGAGATATATCGATTTATGATTACCACAGAGTACAGGCAGACAGACAGACCACACACAAAAACCAAAGTTGCTCAAAATTCGATGGGGATCATTTTCTCCAAAGTGACTATACCTCTATCTCGCTTAGTTTCCGAGATAGCATTTTTGGCAAGGCCGTAGTATACTCCACTATGTATAGCGTCGTATAACAAGAGCAATTTTGTGTTATAGTCTTAGAAAAACACATTTTCCAAATGTTATTATTTTTTATCGTTGTCAATTTGACAATTTCAATTGTCCTTGAAAGTTTCAACTCGGGCCTGATATTACGGAGTTAGTATAGTAGTAATATAGTAGTAGTAGAGAGTACGATTTTCCGACCGGGAGATTGAAAAGGTATTTCACGGCCTAGGCATAAAAATAAATATTTCAAGGGCGTTAATGGACTCAAAATCAAACGATATATCCGTTTGAAATAATAATTGTCTATAAACTTTTTTCATTTCCAAGGTATTGAAGTGGGGCAGGCACCTTTTATTAATCAACCTGCAAATAAATATAGGTACTGAAGACACAATGTTCGTAAGATAAAATGTAGTCAAATTATTTGAAAACACTTCTACCAGGTTTATCTGTTGAATAGTCTAGATTGATCATATTCAGGGTGTCCCACTATGGTCTTACAGCTACAGGAAAAAATCTATTGACAAAATCGGCAATATCTTCAAGTTTCTAAAAAGACCGGTAGGGGGCGAATAACTTACTATGATACAACGACAAATTTAAATTATCTCAGAAAATTGCTGTATAAGGTGATTTTTTGATAACGAGAATGAAATAAAGATCATTCATTTATCGTTGTGTTGGTCTCCAGAGTTTTTCCTATCTTGAAAAATAATGGTGGGGGAAGCTTGTGAACAAAATATTTTTCAAATTGCTGTATCTTCCATACCCCTTATCTACATCCAATCAACTTGGGCACGTTTGGCAGATAATTTCACAATTAATTAAAAACTGATTTCGTAGTATTGTAGTAACTTCGCCCCTTAAAGGTAATTATAGAAATTTGAAAATATTTTGAATCAATTTCTCATCGCCGATTTCGTCAAAAGATTTTTTCCCGAAGCTGTAAGGTATATCGCTTCCATAATATCGTCTCACTGACCTTATATTATATTAGTGGGACACCCTGTTTATGTAGGTAGGTATATCGATCAATATTCCACAATTTGCGCTTTTCCTAATAATATAATTAATTATCTTTATAATATAAGCTTCAATCACCATAAATTCTTGTATCAATAACATATTATTGATCGAATTCATTCGTCCTATTTTCATTTGTACATTATACAGGGTGTTACCAAATGTCATGTTCCTATCGAAAGAAGTAATTCCTTGACTCATTTAAAGGTCTGAAAATTATGAAAGCTCATCATACACCTAAACATTATGTCCAAATTCGATTCGTTTTCAAGATACAGGGGGTCAAAGTTGGAAAAAAATTTCAAGTTTTGTTTTGAGATTTCATCGAATTAGTGACACCCTGCGGAAAAATGAATAAGTAATAACATTTGGCTAATCGGATTCCAGTGGCGCCGTTAGAAGATATTATTGTTTGTTTTCTACTAAAATGTGAGCGGCGAAATAAAATTTCCAAATCCAATACAAAACTATGAAAAACCATTCAATTTTGTACAAAAATGGAACGAAAAAAACGAGAAAAGACTCAAAATTTTTATATAAATGCCGGATTACTGGATAACCATAATACTATGTAACATTCTGAACTTTGTGCACTATTACAGTCACATAATTATGCCATCACGAAAGCTATACAAGGTGGACTAAAGAAGAATCTATGCATATTTTCAACTTTGACGCCCTGTAGTAGCAGTAGTAGTAGTAGTAGTAGTAGTAATAGTATGGTAGGGAGGCTACAGCCAGGCAAGTAGGCCCTTATGGGCTCTTTCTGCCAACTCCTGTTCTCCACATATCTACACATACTTCATAGTTGTCCTTTCTGAACCTCCCTGACCTTCTGATGAAGGTGAAGATCTCCGTCCAATTTAAATCGACTAAATTCTCTTGTTGTAGTTAATTCACTCCAACGATTTTGAATCGCATCCTTCCATACTCCCCACTCTCCAAAGAAATGAAGTGACGTTTCCTCATATTCTCCGCATTGACGGCAAGTGGGACTATCTTCTACACTCTGACTCTACACCTATGAGTGATAGATAGATGTCTGCGCAACCTATTGTGACCTGTCAGTACACCTATAAGGAGGCGATCCCTGCCAAGCAACCACGATGTCATTGATTGTTTGGTCCGGCCACCACGTCTCTTGATTGCCTACAGCTGCCTATACGCCTCCAATATCCTTCTCATGCTTTGTCCGCCCATTCGTTGAGAGCGGACGAAGTTTGACTTCTTGTAATGCCCAGTACAGGTTCCGGTCCCTAGAAAGGTGTCGCAGATCCGATTCTATCCAGCTCGTTGGCCACCTTGTTCTCGGGCCTCCCCATGTGACCCGGAACCCATACAAAAAACGAGACTAAATAGTTCGACTTCTCTCAGTTCAGCTAGTTTCTCAAGAGCATCGCCGCATTCCTGCACCAAAGCTAGACTTGGTTTGGGATAGCAGATAGTCTTGAGAGCCGCCTGACTATCCGAGTAGATGTAAATCTTCTGCTTTGGTCCCTCTATCACCTCTTGTCTCTCTGCTACGGCTAGAATGTCAAATACTTCAGCCTGAAAAACTGTAGTGTATTTTCCAAGAGCGTAGCTCTCCTTCATACCTATTCCTTCTAGGTAAATTCCTGCACCAGAGTCCTGTTTGTCAGTTAGGCGCGATCCGCCCGTGAAAGATATTATACTCCCTCGGCGAAACTCTGTTCTCTTCCCATTGTTCCCTGCTTGGAATAGTAATGGTCAACCTTCTATTCCATCTCAGCCTATTTTGAGAGCGTTCTTCGCTCTTATGGTGGAGATAGGGATCTCCTGCTCACTGCTCTTTCGCTAACCCATCTCCTAGAGTCCCGCATTTTCAGATAGGCCGCCATTGCTTCCCGCTTAATTCAGATTGGAAGCGTCGGTATCAGCGTTGCAGTTGGCGTCGTCCTCATTGTTCCTGTAATTGCCAGGCAGGCCATGCTCTGAACTTTACTTAGCTTCTGACTAATAGTGCTGGTTTCTGCACCTGCCTACCACACAGCTGATCCGAACTGAATCTTTGGTCTTACAACTGCTGACGATAGCCAGCGCATAGTCTCGGGGTTAATACCCCAAGTTTTCCCAACGGCCCTCCTTTATTGACAGAGGATTGCCACCGACTTTTGCACAATCCTATCTACGTGCAGCCTCCATGAAAGTCTTGGGTCCAATACGATGCCTAGATATTTGACCTGTTGGACTAACTACAACTCTTGGTCAAACATGGTGAATAGGATCATCTATGTTTTTGTCAGATTGACAGAGAGCACTGCTTCATCACACCATGTTTCGATTATCCAGCAGGCTACCTGTAGACGTTCACAGACAACTTCTAGGAATTGTCAGCTCACCAATGCCTGCGTATGCCTGCGCCTCAAAACTGTCATGTGTAAACCTGCACAACAGTTCATCCATGACCAAGCACCATAGGTGGGGAGAAAGGCAACTTCCCTGGAGACAGTCCTCACAACTACTTTTACCTTTCTACTAGTTAGTGACGACACTACCCAGCTGACCAATGCGTGAGGAGTTCCCTTGCCTTGTCGAAGGCCCCCTATATATCGGAGATCACCCCTTGTTATAGTTGATAGTGAATAAAGTAGCATTTTACATTTCAGGTATGATTGTCTCAAGCACCCTCACATCAGTTTATTCAGTGGGTCTAATAGCGATTGATAGATATCTATACATTTTACATGGCATGCAGTATCAGAAATGGGTTTATCCAACGAGAGCTAGACTTCTTATCGGATTTTCATGGCTGTTAGGTAAGTTGTTTCATTCTGATATACAGATACATAGATAAAGATATAAACATATACATTTGAAATTTCTTTGGACCACTTTGAGATATGGATGATTTTCATGATTTATATACATTAGTGATATTCTTTCGTTCTGAACCAACTGAAATATATCACCAGAACTGGACTGAATAACATGCATTCTTTCGGATTACGGTCCTTTCCTCTACTTATCGCTTGGCCACAGATCACCAACGTCCAGATACGAAAACTTTGATGCCGCCTTCGATGGTCGATGGCTCAAAATTCGTCACCTTGGACACCACTACAGCATACAGGGAGAAAGATATATCGTTGATTTCACACATCTTCCTTCAACCTACAGTGAAGAAACATGCTTGCACTACTTGGTACTCGGTAGTACGACAACGCTCGGAAGAGCCAGCGATCGGCAGTCTACGGTATTTTAGCAAACTCCATATTGTTGCTAGGTATACTATTTCACCTGCCGTAGGTGAAATGGGGATTCACTATTCCCGTCGAAGGTTCCTTATGGCGTGTCCAGAAGTCAAAAAACGTCTAGTCTATGAACTCGATTAGCTGAAGTATTTCTTGCATTTCTTTTTTCACAGAAGAATTTTCAGGTTAGCGCTTGGCACGCCGAGCCAAGTGGCCGACTGCCATGCTTGAGGTTTCGGGTTCAGTCCTCGCGAGGTTCTTTTTTTTTTTTCATTTGTTTTTCCCAAGTAATATTCCGAGAACTATACTTTATAGAATAAGGTGTTAGGTTGGAGTAGTATCGGGGGTCTGGCAGCATGACAATAGATCAGGATATCGGATGCTTGTTTTGAAATAGACCTCGAATGACGCGATGTTACCGAAATGCTAAGTACTGAGTCGGTCATGCGCATACAAATTCGTTTCTGGCGGGAGACCTAGGTTTCTAGACTTTGGGTTATTTGTGGCTTCACGGTGAATCAAAGTATAAAAGAGAACTACATGGAAGGACCTGAGCGTAAATATAATTTTTCTACTCCCGTATGTGAATTACTAACTTCACACATCAATAAAAATGTGTAAAGCTTCATTTCACGAATCGGTGTGTGAAGTGCCATGCTTTTCTTATGGAATTTATTTCACGCACCGGTGCCATAAAAGTCAATACAAATTCACACACCGGTCGCTGGTCTAGGTAGCGGTGGCGAGAGACATTGACAAATATGACAGTTCCCGCAGAGTGAAGTTCAGAGTAACATAAATAGACCGTGGAGGAGATCTCCTAACGCTAAAAAAACACGGCGGCTGGAAATCATCCTCAGTGGCAGAAGCCTACGTGGAAGAATCCCTAACTGAAAAGATAGATGTCTGCAATAAAATCTTAACAACTGAGAATAATCGTAGTTATGTTGTCAATACCAACAGTACAAGCAGCACTAATTTTGTAGAGAAAGACAAAGTAAATGTACATTTTGACAATTTACAAAATTGCAATATAACTTCATAATAATTATTATTATAATAAAGAAAAAGAGTCAAATTTTCCTTTAATTCAATCTCTAAGTAAAAGGTCGTAGAAAAAGTATAGTGTGCACCACGTCCGTGAAGACTTTTTCACACTCGTGCGGATTGTGAAACTCGCCTGCGGCTCGTTCCACACTCGCGTAAAAAAGTATACTTCACGCACTAGATACACAATATACTATTCTTCGTGGAAAAGACGTCACATTCTAAAGACCTCTGTGGAACCATTGCCAAATCAACGATTCAGAAGGATTATTCGGATAATAGTTATCTGTTTCACTGTGCAGTGGTGATCTGTGGCCAAAGTATAAAAGAGAACTACATGGAAGAACCTGAGCGTAAATATAATTTCTTCGTGGAAGAGACGTCACATTCTAAAGACCTCTGTGGAACCATTGCCAAATCGACGATTCAGAAGGATTATTCGGATAATAGTTATCTGTTTCACTGCGCAGAAAAGTACAAGATTCAAGCCAAGGCTATCATTTTGTCTTCACCAAATGTCAGTGTCAATTTTGATTACCAATTTTATTCAAATTACCTGGAACGTTGCATAGCAACAAACTTTTTCTGCCTAGGCAAACAATATAATATGCTTGTTGAATAATATACTATAGTCTGAGAGAAGAACTGAAATTTTTGTGATCACATTGTTCAGTTATTGTCAAGTTCATAGGTACACAGTTCTGTCCCACTATCGAAAGTTTATTTTAGACAAAATGGGATAACATGACAGCTGGATAAATATGATACAGAAATTCAGTATCATCACGTTGAGTTCCACTTTTACCAGTTGATTTACGAAAGAAAATCACTATTAGTTCAGTCATTGGGGATCCAAAATAAGGCTTACCTGGAAAAAAGTCCGGAAGTTTTGAAACTTCGTAGGATTATAGTTTCGGGTGTCCAGAACTAAAATTCACAAAATGCACATTCCGGGACATGCCGCCGGTGCCGCCATCTTGCCAAGATGGCGCTCAAAAACGGTTTTTTGAAAATATCTCCAAAACGGTGCGTTTTTAGAAAAAATATAAAAACATAAAAATTTAAGATGAAGAAATTTCCTACAAGAAAAGTTCCGAGAATATTTCTGCTAAAGAAAGCCGTTTAGGCTCAAGAGCTGATTGAATGACAACATATTCTGTCAATTTCTATAAACTGCCCCTAACTATCTCCATATATATGCGTATAAATTCATATTTTATAATAAAACGGGCTATTCAATTTGTTCCTCATTATATTGGACGATTTTTAGATCAATTATTCGACAAAAATTTTGCATTTGTGACTTGCGATTATTTGGGCGATATAAAAATTGCATTATCGACGAATCTGGCGACTTTGCTCCAGAAGTATGTGGGTGCAGGATGGTTATGAGTAAATTTCGTACCTATACTATGTAATGTATTCGTAGATATAGGTACCTTCTCGTACTGTAAAACCGCCCATAAATTCATAGAAATTTGAAATTTTGCTTTCTTGTCTTTACCACTCCATCCCAATATGAGTAAATACACAAAATATATATTTCAGATGAGATATTTTTATAAACGGTGAAAACACAAGAACTTTTTCATCAACTATATTACCTTTCCTAACGAACACCATTTGCCAATCAGTAATTTTACGAGAAAAACGGACATGAAAAAATTGCGAGACCGTATTTAACCAAGGAAAAATGAAGTTTCTAACAACATTAGATAAACATAAAGAGTTACAAGATCATATTAAAGTTTTTAAAAATGAACATGCCACCTCTCATCAAGTTGCCTTTGCCGGTGAGAAATTTTTCCTTGCACTCTATGGATTCAAAAACACAAATTACACCAATCTTGATAAATATCGATACCAGTGTTTCATGAAGTCGGTAACAAAAAGTAAATTCAATTTGGCATCTTTACCACCGACAAGCGCAGCTGCACGACAGCATTCGTTGAGAACGTACTATCAGGTTCAACTATGGCGTGGTTGTCCGAAGGTAGTTGAAGAATGGGGTTGGAAGAAAACACAAACTGGCCTCACTCCAATAACTACTTTGAAAGATCCTGCTTCCAAAGCACTACTTGCTTTTTTATCTTGTGAGTGCAAGGCGGCTTGTGGTAGAGCCTGCGGATGCAGGAAAGCAGGATTGCGATGTTCGATGATTTGCGGTGTCTGCAACGGGAAAACTTGTGAAAATATCAGCCAAGTGACACTGGACGAATCCGATGAAGAAGACCTCCATTCGCTGCATGATGATTCTTTATCGACTGCAGAAGAAGAATCCGACGAGTTGAAGGAAATTAACATCGATTCTGGAGCTGAGGTAACCAGTTTCCCCGTTGAATATATCGAAATCAACGAGCCAGGTCCGTCTGGCCTTTGCCAAAAATAATTTCAGTACCTGAGTGGATTAGGACTATAGGGGAAACCACGTTAAAAAAAACGCGTCGTGTACTTAGCCTCTTGGGTGGTGTGGAAACAAGTACAGCATTTAAAATCGAAATTGATTGATCATAAATTATTAACATGGATTAATTGATGAATTCATCGATTAATTGAATAATGGATATCCACCGTTTCGTGAGAAATATTTTTAAAGTCGTTAAATATCAGATTTGGGGACACCTAATACACATATTATTTCCGAAACTCGCCACTACAGAAAACTTACGCAACATAATATGTAATTTGGTAAGGGCACTTGGGCCTTGACGAGGGTACTTTAGCGAGAATATTCTAGGAACATATTTCATAGGAAATATCCTCTGTCAGCAAGCTATAAATATGGCAAGAAACCAATTAGATAGCCCGTTTCATTATAAAAAGGAGATAGTTAGGGGCAGTTTATTGAAATTATCAGAATATGTCATTCAATCAGCTCTTGGGCCTAAACGGCTCACATCAGCAAAAATATACTGGGAACATTTCTTGTAGAAAATTTCTTCATCTTAAATTTTTATGTCTTCATATTTTTTCTAAAAACGCACCGTTTTGGAGATATTTTCAAAAAACCGTTTTTGAGCGCCATCTTGGCAAGATGGCGGCGCCGGCGGCATGTCCCGGAATGTGCATTTTGTGAATTTCAGTTCTGGACACCCAAAACTATAATCCTACAAAGTTTCAAAACTTCCGGACTTTTTTCCAGGTAAAAATCCCCAATGACTGGCCTATATAGACATTCTCAAAATATGAGTTCGAATTCTTCTGCAAGATTTAATGGTTTTCAAAGAAATGAAAGAACAAGTCTCGTACAGGTTCCGGCACCCAATACATATACCGTTTCTATCGTTTGAATTTTCAGGTGGCATTATTGGATTTTTACCACTGATGGGATGGTATGGAGACACTGATAATGGAAAAATATGTTGGTTTATATGTCTGGCTCCAAAAAAATTAATTCTACTAACTGTACTCCTTGGAGTGATACCGATTATCGTTGTCATGGTATTATACTCCATGATCTTATACAGAGCCCTCCAAAGAATCGTGCGATTGAGATCAAACAAAAGCAGTCCATCTGAAATCCGAACAGTTACAAGTGAAACCAACACCCCACACCTAAGGGTTTTCAGAGGAGGAAGCACTCAAATAGAAAGCCAAAAAAGGAATCAAGGAAAAGGCATTGAGAAATACTTCAAGACCAAATCAAGCCCTGCAGTCAAAGGCTTCGACAGGTGCAAAGCTATAAAAGTAGTTTTGTTTACTACTGGGAGCTTTTTGATCACTTGGTCACCTTATTTCATAACTAGTATTATATACGTATCCAACTGCGAGTTGAAGGATACTTCCAAAACTTGCAAGACTATGAGGATCATGATTGCGAGCCCTTTGGCCATTCTTGGCTTCATGAACAGTTTATTGAACCCCATCATATATGCCTGGTGGCACAAAGGTTTCAGATCTTTCGTAAAGAGGAGATTTGAGGTAATAAAACTCAGAAACAAAAGTATATTTAGTGGGTCAAAATCCGCCAGTACAACGAATTCATCGATGGCTCATAATACTGTTTCGAAAAATGAATCCATTTCAGAACCATAGTTCCTCAATTCGAAATATTAGTTTTTGCTCAAAACTTTGACAAACTGAACAAAGTTTTTCATGAAAGTCAACTCTTTTGTTGTTCTATCACCCATCACCCATCAGAATTAATATAAGTAATCACAGGGTGATTCAGGTTTTGAGGTACAAACTGATATGGGTGATAATAATGATAAATAAGTTTATTCAAAGAACATTTTCCATACTAAAAGTTATATACAGCGTGTCTCATTTCAAACGGCCCCCCCTCTATATCTCAGCTATCAGTCGTGCGATCTTTACCAAATTTGTATCGGTATGAATAATCATCAATATGACCAGTTCTTCAGGGACAAACATCATTTTAGACAGTGCCGTGCATTTTTAATGAAATGAATAGGGGTCAGTTTTTCATTAAATCATATTAGGCATTTTTCCACAGGAAAACTGACCTCATAATATCATTCTTCATGGTTTCAAATTAACATATGTGGATTTTCATAAGATGCCTATGAAGGGTTTCAGAAAAACAGGCACATCTAAACAGCATCTTTGCGAACGTAATAATTATTTATTCGGAAACGGTGAGTTCAACATAAAAAAGTATAACCCGTTTTTCCTTCCAAATCATGATTTTCCACCTACTGGAGCCACTAAACGTTCCAAAATTCGTGGTTGATTTGAAGTCACTATTTATGCGAGACTGAAAATGAAAAAAATGAAGCCAATGCTGTTCATTAGGAATTAGGTGGTGCATATGGGGATTCGAAAGCATGAGGAACTATAATATGGGGTTAGATTTCCTGTAAAAAAATGCCTTATATGATTTTATGAAGAATCGACCCCTTTTTATTTGAATAAAAACGCACGGCTCTGTCCAAAATAATGTGCATCTCTGTAAAACTGATCATATTGATGGTTATTCATACCACACCAAATTTGGTTGAAATCGCATGACTATAATAACTGAGATATAAAGGGGGGCCGTTTAAAGTGAGACACGCTGTATAGTGTATTGAATAAACTAATGAAAAACCTTACGAAGTGTCACATGTTGTAAGGATTATTGAATACAAATACAAATCAATCAATATAATCGAATTGTTTAAAAAAATATATTTCATTTCATTCAATTTTTGTTTAATCATCCTTTTTTTTCATTCTTTCATATTCATATTTCCTCTTGTATATCCTATTAAAAGTTCCTAATATTATATAAAATAATTGATAAATCTCATCATTACAAGAGTTCTCGTAAACATGAGTCCGATTTCAATCAGTAGCGGAGCTACAGAGGGTCAAATTTTAAATATTTGTTCTATTAGTTGAAATATCTCGCTCAATTTTGAAGATATCAATTTGAAATTTGGTGTAGTTGGCACTTTCTATAAAATCATAATTTCGAGCGTTTAAAAGGTTTCAAAAATCTACAGGGTGTTTTTGGGGGGTAGAGGCTTATTTACCCCCCCCCCCCGAACTTTTTTGTAGTACGCCTCTGACATCTCCCAGTTCCCAAATAGGATGGATCATTCAATTTAGAGGGTTTTTTGCCTCACATTTGTTCCCGAGAAAAAACCGTTTTTGAGATAAATAAGCATATTTGTTCTAAATCATGTGAATTTCATCTAAATTCCTTTTCTATTAAATTTTATTCTTGGACAAAATTTGTTAACAATATTGACAACGACGAATAGTACAAAATATATGTAATGTGGACAGATAAGGCCACATTAACCAGATGTATGGTGGTAATTTGCCATAATTCACATGTTGCTCAATTATTTATTACCTATTGTCCTTTGTGGACCGTATATTTGTTCCGAATGGTTGAATGCTACATTATTTTTCAATTTTTTAAATGATATTGAAAAAGATATTAGTTACAACTGGATGGGGCTTAACCAGTGGTTTAACACGAATTTTCCGCGTCGTTGTATTGGTCGGTTAAAAACAACCTGATCATCATCTACCCTCTGTATCCCCGCTACTGATCCAAATAGGACAAATGTTCAAAAACATTGCAATTTTAGTACATTTCATTGCATTCTCAGAGAATTTTGCCCAAGAATAAGATTCAAGCGAAACATAGGCAAAATCGAGCAAAATCAACAAGTTATAGAACGGATATGCTCATTTATCTGGAAAACAGTTCGTTTCTAGACAAGAATTGAGGAGCAAAAAGAGCCTTTGGATTGAATCATCCACCCAATTTGGTAACTGGAATATGTCAAAGGCCTACTATGAAAAAGTTTGGGGGGATAAAGAAGCATCTACCCTCAAAACTGTATCACCCTGTAGATTTTGAAAATCTTTGAAATACTTCAAATGATGATCTTCTAGGAAGTATTGACCACACCCAGTATCATATTGATATCTCTAGAAGTGAGCGAGATATTTCGATTGATAAATAAAAATAATTAAATGTTGACCCCCTTGTAGCTCCACTACTGATCGATATAGGACCTATATTAATACAAACTTTTTCGATCAAAATGATGAGATCTATCTCCCATTCCAGTTTGTACCTTAAAATCTGAATAACCCTGTATATACCTACAGCGATCTACTCAAGTTGGCTACATATGTAAACCTTTCATATCATTAATTTTACGAAAAAAAAGTTATTCTTCATAAAAAGTCCTGCATGGCCCGAAACCGAAAATTAAAATGTCAGATATCTAATTTCCAGCCGTATACGAGGTATGAAAAATTTATTTTTGACATTATCGAAAATTATTATGAAGAAAAGTTCACTAGAATTGAAAACTACGTTCAAATATCTAATTTCTTCTATCCACGATGAAAATCAGGTTTTACTATTTTTCACAATTTCTGGTCGATTCATATGAAAAACTTTTTTATTATCAATTTTACGGAAAAAGTCATCCTTAGAAAGTTCTGCTCCTGCAAGGCCCAGTCGTATGTCAATAATCTTAAATAAATTGTAAACTATAATCAATCCCTATTTTTTTCGAAGAGAGATTTAATTAGATATTTAAACGTAGTTTTCAATTCTACTCAACTTTTTCTGATTACAATTTACTCTTGATTAGAATTTATGTTTTTTGACATACCTCGTATACAACTAAAAATAAATTATATCTGATAATTGCATTCTTGGTTTTAGATCTTCAGAACTTTTCATGGGGAATAATTTGTTTTCGTAAAATTGATAATAAAAAAGTTTCCAATATGTAGCCAGGCGTCGCTCAGGTGGGGTCTCGGATAGCCACAGAAATTTTAAATCACTAGCATTTCAATTTGAATGCACGCACGTTTCTTTGGTTGCCTATAGCTTCCCACAACACTTCATTCTGTGATATTCTGGTGCGAATTCACTCTTTAGTTAGCTACAAAGATAGTGACAGTACATCAGTAAACAGCATTGGGGTCTGAGAAGCCCCACCCGTGTAACAAAGATATACATTTTATTCTAAAAGATACATGTAAATTCCCATAGGAAAATGGATCATTTTTTGTTTTTTTCATATACTACATACTACTTATTTTTGACTGATAACTTGAACATGTTAATCATTAGTTTTGCATGAAATCTTACAGAATTGATTGTGGAATATTTTTTAAACAGTTTTTTCCCATGAGAATTTCGCTATTTATATGTCTTTGATGATATCTGAATTGGCGTGTACACCTTAGTAGAACTTTTAACTCAAACCATGTTTAAAATGATCCTTTTATACATAAATAATGATTGACGACATAATTCGATCGAAAAATTAACTGGAATGTTTTATTTTTCGACATAAATAATAGTACCTTCTGAAAACGGACCCTCTTATGACGTAGAAACCTCATCTCGCCATAGTTGAAAGAAAATACCAAACGCCCGACGGAGCCTGAGGCAACTGATATATTAATATAAATACTGTCTGTAGGTTAATCGAGGAGGTGGTATATTCATTATTCCAAATTTTTTGGGATTTTCTCTCCTCGTTTCTATAAAATAAAAATATGAATATTATTTCAATATACGTGTAGTAAGGACAAATCAGATGATTCGCCCCAAAATGTCACTGCGTTTAAAGAATTTTCCTATCAGAGAGCCTAAAAGAAAAATTCACTAGCTTGTCAGTGACAATTTGTATTGAAACAATTTTTGGAGAAGGGAAATAAAGGTATATAGAAAAAATATCAAATTTTCACTTATCTTTGGACGTTTCGGGACCGGTTCTGCTCCCGTTTTCAACATAAGAAGAGATTATTTCAATAGCGAAGTCGTATAATGTCTTGAAGCTTTTCAGTTTTCAATGACAATTGGTGACGTTGGCAATCAAATGAGTTACAGGATGTTTTCATTAATTGATCTTGAATTTACCATTTTCATGTTCAGATTTTAGTAGTGAATACCATGTTCTGTCTATATCAACTGAACAAGAAGCAATGTTATTGTCTCCGTTCAGAAGAATGCAAGCAGATTCCTTGATTTTTCTCTTCTGGTTGTTATCTTCTTTTCCAATAATTTTAATATTATTCCACTCTGCCATATGTTGTCCGTCTTCAGTAAGGATATGTTCAGCTAGTTTCGATTTATCGATGTTTCTTTTCTTTATATTGTACTTATGTTCCTTCGTCCTTACTGAAAGAGGTCTCTTGGTTTCACCTGTATAAAACTTTCCACAAACACAAGGTATACTGTAAATACAATTTTTTGATGATTGTTCTTCATTTTTCGGCTTTGTTTGAGTTAGAATTGATCTCATTGTATTTTCAGTTTTGAACACAGTTTTCACTTGAAATTTATCACCAACACGTTTTATTTTTTCAGATATGCCGGGAATGTATGGTATTATATTTGTCGTTATTGATGGTTGATTTTGTTGTGGTTGACCCTGTTTGTTTTCAATTCGATGAATCGTCCTATCGACAAAATTCTTTGGATAAGAATTGAGTTGGAGAACATTTTTAATATGTTGGACTTCGTTATTGAAAATTTGTTGGTCAGATGATATTGATTTGGCTCTATCATGGAGTGATTTGATTATTCCTTTCTTAATACTTTTCTGATGATTTGATTGAAAGTTCAAGTATCTGTTAGTATGGGTCTTTTTACGATAAACACTCGTTACAAAGATGTTATTTGATTTTTCAATAAGAACATCTAGAAACGGTAATTGATTATTAGATTCAATTTCCAAAGTGAACTTTATTGTAGGTTCGGCATTGTTCACATAATCCAGAAAATTATCTAGCTCCATAACATTGTGAGGCCAAATTATGAAAATATCATCTACGTATCGCCACCATGTTTTAGGTTGTTTTTGGTAATTTTTGATGATGTTGTCTTCAAAATTCTCCATAAATATATTGCTCAAAATTGGAGATAATGGCGATCCCATGGCCATTCCAAAGTTTTGTTGATAAAACTCATCACCCAATTGAAAATATGTTGTTTTTAGACACAATTCCAAAAATTCCATTATTCCTTCGATACTTAAATTAGTTCTTTCAGTGAGACTTTCATCGTCTTCTAATTTATGTTTCACTATTTGTAAAGTTTTATCTATTGGAACATTTGTGAATAAACTTACTACATCAAAACTAACAAGAGTATCATTTGTATCAAGAGTGATGTCATTAAGTTTTTCTAAGAAATGAGGAGTATTTCTGATGTAACTCTCACTTTTTCCTGAAATAGGATTGATGATATTCAAGAGAAATCTTGCTAAATTTTGACATGGAGATCCAATTGAACTCACGATTGGTCTCAATGGAACATTTGGTTTGTGTATTTTTGGAAGTCCGTAAAAATGAGGAGGTTTGCTGTGATATGTGGAGATATTCTTTCTTTCCGCGAGTGTCAATTGATTTTCGTGTTTCTTAATAGTGTTACGTATCTTTCTTTCGATATTTGCTGTAGGATCTTTATTCAATTTCGTGTAATTACCATCATTTATAATGTAAATGTAAATTACCATCATTTATAATGGTAATTACACGAAATTGAATAAAGATCCTACAGCAAATATCGAAAGAAAGATACGTAACACTATTAAGAAACACGAAAATCAATTGACACTCGCGGAAAGAAAGAATATCTCCACATATCACAGCAAACCTCCTCATTTTTACGGACTTCCAAAAATACACAAACCAAATGTTCCATTGAGACCAATCGTGAGTTCAATTGGATCTCCATGTCAAAATTTAGCAAGATTTCTCTTGAATATCATCAATCCTATTTCAGGAAAAAGTGAGAGTTACATCAGAAATACTCCTCATTTCTTAGAAAAACTTAATGACATCACTCTTGATACAAATGATACTCTTGTTAGTTTTGATGTAGTAAGTTTATTCACAAATGTTCCAATAGATAAAACTTTACAAATAGTGAAACATAAATTAGAAGACGATGAAAGTCTCACTGAAAGAACTAATTTAAGTATCGAAGGAATAATGGAATTTTTGGAATTGTGTCTAAAAACAACATATTTTCAATTGGGTGATGAGTTTTATCAACAAAACTTTGGAATGGCCATGGGATCGCCATTATCTCCAATTTTGAGCAATATATTTATGGAGAATTTTGAAGACAACATCATCAAAAATTACCAAAAACAACCTAAAACATGGTGGCGATACGTAGATGATATTTTCATAATTTGGCCTCACAATGTTATGGAGCTAGATAATTTTCTGGATTATGTGAACAATGCCGAACCTACAATAAAGTTCACTTTGGAAATTGAATCTAATAATCAATTACCGTTTCTAGATGTTCTTATTGAAAAATCAAATAACATCTTTGTAACGAGTGTTTATCGTAAAAAGACCCATACTAACAGATACTTGAACTTTCAATCAAATCATCAGAAAAGTATTAAGAAAGGAATAATCAAATCACTCCATGATAGAGCCAAATCAATATCATCTGACCAACAAATTTTCAATAACGAAGTCCAACATATTAAAAATGTTCTCCAACTCAATTCTTATCCAAAGAATTTTGTCGATAGGACGATTCATCGAATTGAAAACAAACAGGGTCAACCACAACAAAATCAACCATCAATAACGACAAATATAATACCATACATTCCCGGCATATCTGAAAAAATAAAACGTGTTGGTGATAAATTTCAAGTGAAAACTGTGTTCAAAACTGAAAATACAATGAGATCAATTCTAACTCAAACAAAGCCGAAAAATGAAGAACAATCATCAAAAAATTGTATTTACAGTATACCTTGTGTTTGTGGAAAGTTTTATACAGGTGAAACCAAGAGACCTCTTTCAGTAAGGACGAAGGAACATAAGTACAATATAAAGAAAAGAAACATCGATAAATCGAAACTAGCTAAACATATCCTTACTGAAGACGGACAACATATGGCAGAGTGGAATAATATTAAAATTATTGGAAAAGAAGATAACAACCAGAAGAGAAAAATCAAGGAATCTGCTTGCATTCTTCTGAACGGAGACAATAACATTGCTTCTTGTTCAGTTGATATAGACAGAACATGGTATTCACTACTAAAATCTGAACATGAAAATGGTAAATTCAAGATCAATTAATGAAAACATCCTGTAACTCATTTGATTGCCAACGTCACCAATTGTCATTGAAAACTGAAAAGCTTCAAGACATTATACGACTTCGCTATTGAAATAATCTCTTCTTATGTTGAAAACGGGAGCAGAACCGGTCCCGAAACGTCCAAAGATAAGTGAAAATTTGATATTTTTTCTATATACCTTTATTTCCCTTCTCCAAAAATTTTTTCAATACAAATTGTCACTGACAAGCTAGTGAATTTTTCTTTTAGGCTCTCTGATAGGAAAATTCTTTAAACGCAGTGACATTTTGGGGCAAATCATCTGATTTGTCCTTACTACACGTATATTGAAATAATATTCATATTTTTATTTTATAGAAACGAGGAGAGAAAATCCCAAAAAATTTGGAATAATGATAATTCTCTCAACTGTGATCTCGCGCTAATTCACTCTGTCAGAAATCATGTATCATTCATTTCTGTCTGGAATAGTCTTGTATCAGTATTAATTAAGGTTTTGACGTCACATCATCGCCAATATTTTTTTATAAAACGTAGGGAGCTCACAGCAAGAAACGGTTTGCGGTTGTGAGCTAGTTTGGGTGAGTTCTATTGAATTATGAAATAAAGCCCATTAAACTTATTATAAGTTTCTGTTTATAACTATGAAGTAAATACGAGAGTAAATTCATCTAAAAACTCATTTCACATACAAATCTGGAAATATTCCTAATGTTTTTTCCCTCATGTTTCTAATTATGAGGTATATCAGACCCCACCTAGGTGACGCCTGGTTAAGTAGACATGCTGCAACGGCTGCATACATTAGTATATTGTTCAACAAGAACGGAATGATAGTGATTTCCGACGATAATGAAGTTTACAGCATGAGCCGTAGGCAAATGCTCCTATCATTCGAGTGGGAAATTAGCATTCCGTCCGAGTTATACACGATAATTTTTCTACGGCTGTGACAGATAACAGCGACATTTCTGATTTCTTCGTCTTTTTTATGAAATAATAACACACATTGTGATATCAAATAAGGAAATAAAATTGATGACATACAAAGTACCTCATTGATGAATCGAACACAGTAAAACTAGAGACATTTTGTATTGTAGCCGTAGAAAAAGTATATTATATTATTATATCATTATACTATAATGGCATATTACCTAATTATATCGACAGCCATAGTCTAGACGTACAAAACAATTCAATCATGGACTGATGATTATTGAATATGAACAATTATTATAATCTTGTAGTACTGCTAAAGATCTAGTCAATTTCATTGTCTGTTTTTAGCTATAAATTTAATAAAATGTTTTTCAAAATCAAGTACCTGATTTTGAATCGAGAAACAAATTCCCAACTCACAATAACAACAACAAAAATCAAGAAAATAAATGTTTTCCTAAAGTTGGCATTTAAATATCAATTACAGTTCACACTGAATACGTACAGCCAGAGATAAGTTACCCACGTGGGTAACTTATCTGATGAGATATAGGTCGATTTTGAAAATTTATACTTTTTGGACCCCCTCTATATCTACAAAGTGCCTTTGTGATTATCTCTACTATGTTGGTGGGTATTTTTCTGAAAAATGTTGCAGCTTCATGTGCTTGTGATATTTGTGAAGCATATATTATTATGCAGTCAGAAACAGAACTGGTTGATGGAGGAATTTATTCACATTTTAGTGCACATCAAAATTCTGCTGAAGATACATATGGAAATTTAAATATGCCTCAAGAGGATCTCTTCTCATACCTAGGAGATGTGAAAATATATTTGCTTCGAATTTCCCTAATTTTTCTGTCCAGCCTACTATTGCTATCAGATTGAAGGAAGAAATAACAAGTACAATTCTGCTGATACATCCTTGTGAAAATTTTCCACTTGATTATCTCAACAGTTTGTTTATGTTTATGAACAGAGAGTTATCATAACCAAAAACTAAAAAACAAAATTTAAAATTGAAAGTTGTGCAACATTTATAAACTTCATCATTTCAGATTTAGTTATCATAATGATCATATTTAATCTGATTATGTTTTAACGTCCGTCTCGATTCACAGTATGTTCATTGGAAAAAAAATATTGATATCAGTTTTTTATAATCTAAATTTCCATGTTTTTAGGAGTGTTAAGTGCATAGATAGGCTATTTATTTATTTGAAGCCGTACCTGTTCACATAAAATTTGTAAAATTCAGGGACTTCATAGCATTCCTCAAACTCATCATTGGCTTCCTATTGGCTTGACCAAGCCTGTAATGCGCAAGTCTGTGCGTGGTGGTATGTGCACTAGTCTGGCAAAAAAATAAAACTTGTGGACACCAACATCAAACGTTCCAAGAGAAGTGAAATAACTGTTTTCCGCTATGGTCTATACTGATCACATGATAGGATACATGTCCAGCATGTCCTATACTATCCAATACCCAATGAACTCAATAAAACACCTATATTGAGTTCACTGCCAATACCACAGTTTACTGCTTTCTGTTAAGCAGTAACCTGTGCCTATACAGACCATACCACTATTGGTAGGTATCTGGAATAAGCTAAATATTATGAAGTTGAATGAATGAACAATGAAACAATGTTTCCAAACCGGAAATTTCACCAAACGTTCCGACCATGGTGATGGAATTCATGGGCATAAACGAGGGCATAAATGTAGGGAAACTTTTCAGGTGTACATATCTGACCTTGGTAAGTTAATAACTTCTTGAATTCACTTAAAATATTACAGGTCAGTATTTGAAAAAGTAGAGTTGATGGTGTTCCCTATTTATAAATGAAACATTATAATGACAATCAAAGCTCAGTGCACATCAAAGCAATTGTGAAACAGAGAAGAAAGTTTCTTGAACACATTTTCCCAGACATTTTCATACATCTTAAAATGGAGGCGAAAATGCAAAGAAAATCTGCCATTTCGGTTTTGCCTGTATATTTAGAAAACAGTTCCTGTTATTTCTGTTTTGGAAACAGGCCCATTGTGACTGAGAAAATAGTATATTTCTCTAAGGGTACTTTATAATATGTAATTATATTTCACAAGGCTTCACCTAAATGTACAGGGTCTCTATAAATGATCTTAACATCATAGTGACCATTGAAATATTTTGATGGTTTGCTGCTTTGTACTTATGGATATCAAACTCAATGCCCATAAACCACATGATCAGAAAGCAGCACTGTTTCATAGGCCAATATGATGCTAGGATGATCTATAGAAACCCTGTATTTCTCCAAGGGTACCTACTTTATACAGGGTGAGTCATAAGTCATAACTATTGGGACATGAGATAAGGGCACTGTTTGTAAAAAAAATATGGTTATAGAACCAAGTATTTCTCAATAAAGTATTGCTATGGAAAAAGATACAGGACCTTGAAGTTGAATGTTTTTTTCGTTTTTTGCTAATAAGTTCACTGTATATTTATCAATTGTTATCAAAATCGGCACAGAGACATAATTGTATACAGGGAATATCATTCTATGTTTCATTCTAGGTTGTTACAGGGGGCACCACATCAATAGTTCTTGATGAAGTAATCAATTTTTATAAACAATTTTTTTTTTCAAGTGTTTTTGATTAGAAAATTTGACATCACCATTAGTACTCCTGTTTAAACATGATATTTTCATCCCTTTTCCAGAAAAATACAATTGAACAGATCAAAGTCTGGGAAGGGGATTTCAAATATTATGTAATTAGCTTTGGATTCAGATGATCCTTGCAAGTAAATCAGTAAATAACATTTCTTGAATAAACTATTATCAAGATACTATAATCAAGCTATAGGAAAATCCTCGGGAAAATCATAGATAATAAATATAGAAATATCCTTAGAAAAACTCACCATTCTGCTGTTCATTTAGACATTCTCTGTTGATTTCTTCTGATGCTGCAGTTTTATCTTTGTCCCAATCATTTTGTTTGGCAGAGTACTTTAGTTGATCACCATATCCTCCATCTGAGACCATCTGATTTTGGTTTAATGGAGCAAGACGCTGAGACACAGAATACAAGGATCCCTGACCAGGCATTTCTTCAGTTTGAGAATAATCATCATGAGTTTTGCTGAAGACATTCAAGAAATTGAATTCAATAAGAAGCTAATGCAATGTCCCATTGCAATGTTACCTGTATGGCTCTACCAAATAATCTCCACTGGAATCATTATAAACTCTATTCCTATTAAACTCTACTGGTATAACAGTAACATTATGATTACTGGTTTGAATGGCTATCTGTTGACAGTCATTTACATCTGACTTACTGGAATCCATCTTCAATAATTTGCTGGACAGTTTCTGAAATAGATGTTTACATAATATTAATAATAAAGACAAAATTTCATAAGATATTCCTGGTGAAATATCATCTGCTGATATCATTATAATTAGGGTGACCAGACGTACTCTTTTCATAGTACAAGTACTCTTTTTTGAGGCTGCTGTCAGTGCTGTCCTCGTACTCTATCTTTTTCCATTTGGGACGTAAATGTTCTCTTTTTTCGAAGTCGGACCATATTAGACGGTTTATAGTCATAATTTGTTGATGATAAGTAGGCAAGATGAAAAAACTGATGGCATCTGATGTTCTGTGGTTCTTTCAATCTAAGATTTTGTGATCTGTGCTTTCTGTTCTATGTCCATGGCTCCTGTACCCTGTGTGTTCGTGACATTATGTCACTTTTCACCAACTCTTCTCTTTTTTATTCGTGTTTCGAGCAGATCGAATCTCAGAATCTCAGTCTACTTCAAAATATTTAGGGTTATGTTTATGTTTATCGTTTCTGTTTCGTTTGTGTGTACTTAAACAAATTACAATCCTCAATTTTGTTTGTTAATTTGATTGTGAAAACCCTGATTGAACCATCGATTGAGTCGATTAAACGAAAAAAGGTTCCTATTGTTTTTGATAATATGATATGCGGCACCAGTTTGATTCCTGTACAAGTGGTGAGTACAGAATTACATTATACCTTTTTATGAATTGTAGATGCCAAAACCAAGGAGAACATGTAAATTCAATAAAGAACTTCAGTTGAAGTACCCTATGTTCAAACCAACAAAAACAGATGCTGACAACAGTGACGTTCATTGTCCCACATGTAAAAGTATATTCAGTATAGCGAATAAGGGAAAATGTGACCTAGATCAACATCTAAACACGATGAAGCATAAAAAAAATATAAGGGAAGCAGAAGTAAATAATAAAGTTACCGATTTTCTTGTGCCAAAATATACAAATATCGAACTACAGATTTCTGCAGCTGAAGGAACGCTGGCATTTCACACAGTGCATCACCATTTAAGTTTCAGATCATGTGATTGTTCTGTCAAATTGATTAAGAAGATAATACCAGATTCTAGTATGGCAAAAAAGATATCTTGTGCCAGAACTAAGTCTGAGGCCATAATTGTTGGAGTGATAGCGCCATACTCATTAAATATGGCTGTGCAAGATGCAAAAAAATCAAATGTTATTGGTATCGCCACAGATGCCAGTAATCATGGTAGTCTGAAAGTTTTTCCAGTTCTAATACAATTTTTTGACAAAAGAATGGGTTTATCCTTGAGACTTATTGAAGTGGGGAATTTGGAAAATGAAAAATCTGATACTATTGCTAATTATTTAACAAATATATTGCAGAAGAATGATTTAAAGGATAACTGTATTGCATTCAGTGGTGATAATTGTAATACCAATTTTGGGGGAATGAACCGTAAAGGAACACAAAATGTTTTCTCAAAACTGAAGAATTTAGTTAACTTGAAATTAGTTGGTATAGGTTGTCCTGCACATATACTAAATAATTGTGTACAGAGTGGAACTGACACTTTACGAATCGATATTGATTCTCTTGTTTTGAAAATATATAATCATTTTTCAATCTACACAATAAGAACAGAGTCTTTAAAACATTTTTGTGAATTTGTAGAAATTGATTATAAAAAATTACTCTATCATAGCAAGACACGGTGGTTATCACTATTTCCATGTCTCAACAGAATATTAGAAATATATCCAGCCTTGGAATCTTATTTTTTATCAGAAAATAATCCACCAGTCACAATTAAATCATTTTTTGAAGATAAACTAAATGAAAGTTATCTATGGTTTTTACATTCACTAATGTATATTTTCAATGAAAAAATTAAAGCTATTGAGAGGGAAGGTAATTCGATTTTAGAAATACTAGAGTGTTTGGAGGATATTAAAGCTTGTTTGAGGGAACGAATGCAGGAATCTTTCTTTCCCATGAAAGTGAAAGAAATTTTCAGAAAATTCGAGAGAGATGGCAAGGAAATAGAAGTTAGTATTCTGAAAAAAAATTTCTTGTTCGTGTATGAAAGATGTTATGAATACTTATATGAATGGACCAAGCCTTTTGAAAGTTTCGAGAATCTGAAGTGGATGAACTTGAAAAATATTCCTTCCTGGGAAAGTATTCAAGAGTCCATCACTTTCTTCATTGACAAAGGGATCAATATTCAAGAATCTCTCCTGTTTGATCAATTTTGTAATCTCAAGAACTTTTTAAAATCATCTCTAAAAGATGATAGTTTCAACCATTTACTTTCCCATGAAAAATGGACTAAATACTTCAATGACATTCATGTAGAAGAAAATTACAGCGAATTTTTAAAAATTTGCCAGTATTTCTTTGCTGTGCCCGCACAAAATGCAAACCTCGAAAGAATTTTTTCTCTCATGAATAGTCAATGGACTGATGAGCGAAATAGATTGAATATATCAACTGTTGAATCTATTCTGATAACACAGTTTAATTTCAAAAAATATAGTTGTGAACAGTTTTATGATCATTTGATGTCTAATAAAGATCTTTTACATAAAATATCATCTTCACAAAAATATTCTTAGAAAATATTTTGTATTAGGTATGTTTCATGGTCCAGTTCCACGAGATGTTCTTTAGTTATAGTGTAGACGAAGAGAAATATATTTTAATTTATGTACCTGAATTGTACCTGTTTTACTGAAATCAGTAAATAAAATTTCTTTTTATTTTTTGTTTTGATTTTCAATTTTTTTACTCATGATATTGACAAAAATGGGCAGTTTCTTCAATGGTAGGAGGAAATCGAGAGGAAATCTAACTTTCAATTTAAAGGCATTTGACCTTGAGAAATGAAAAAAAATCGCCTGCGGCGCTTTTCATTTTTGTTATAATTATTTATACTCGACGTACTCTTTTTTCATTTTCTAAATCTGGTCACCCTAATTATAATCAATGTTCTTCTTACCACAACTACTCATTCAATTTCTGGCATAAGTTGACCAGTCTTTCGTACCCTCGTTTGTACCATATACCATAACATAACTCTTTATTTTATATTATTTGTTCATTTTAATGAAAGAATTCACTTCAATTTACCAATTCAAAACATTGATCTTGGGTCTTCACATTTTCATAATATTATGTATTTGTCATTTATGTCAATCTCATGTCAATGTTTTGTTGTCGTCAATGTTTTGTTGTCGCTGTTGACGAATGGACGAATGTCACCAATAGCACAAATTCACTTGAACCGTACTTTCGTCGACGAAAGGTGTGTTCCGAACGAGCGCGCAATCTGCTACAATAGGTGCGTTCGGTTATAACATATCTGTTAGCTCGATTCCATCTGTTAGCTCGGAAAGCGTTCGATAAATCAGATCTACTTCCTACGAAAGCGTAGAAGCGCCACATGATATATTTCTTTTAATAATTGACAGATATAACTGTCAACTAGCCTAATTGACAGATACTAAGTCGCAAGTAGTATACTTGACAGATACTAAGTAGTAAGTAGCATACTTGACAGATACTAAGTCGTAAGTAGCATACTTGACAGATACTAAGTGGTAAGTAGTATACTTGACAGATACTAAGTCGTAAGTAGCATACTTGACAGATACTAAGTGGTAAGTAGTATACTTGACAGATACTAAGTCGTAAGTAGCATACTTGACAGATACTAAGTGGTAAGTAGCATACTTGACAGATACTAAGTGGTAAGTAGTATACTTGACAGATACTAAGTCGTAAGTAGCATAATTGACAGATACTAAGTGGTAAGTAGTATACTTGACAGATACTAAGTCGTAAGTAGCATATATGACAGATACTGGCTCAGAGCTAGTCGACTTATCAATGATGATTCAACTGTAACATATCAATACAACAAAATACTGCATAAGCTTGTATGACATTTTTTTTCTAATTCTTAGTGTTCGACCTCGTAAAGCCTCATGAACGGCTGAACCGGCTCAACAACCTATATATTTTTGAAATCAGAAAAGGAGGATTCTCAATTCATTCGAAAAATATGTATAGGGTGTTCCATTTAAAATAACGAAGTTGGTACCCATTTCTTATATCAGCACCTCGTACAGTGAAGATTTGGAGACTGGTTAGTAGTACTAAAATACAAAATAAAAAGACCGAACAATATCACAATACGTATTTTGGCAACTAAGTTGCCATTCTCAGTAGACCTGTAAAGTAAAAATGATTAGCTGACTCGCATAGTGGCTGACTCCTTAGTATCTTTCGGATATTGCAGGTCGACCTCTGGACAATATCCGAAAGATAAATCGAAGGAGTTAGCTAATCATTTTTACTTTACAGGTTGGCAATTTAGTTGCTGAAATACGCATATTTAGGTTTCTCTAAATATTATGGTATTTTTGGGTCTTTATATATTCCACCTCGTACAATTTTCTGGATGTTGAGAACACACCCTACAACTTTTGTATTTGAAGTTTGTTTCTATCTTCAATGATAAACCCTGTAGAAGCTCTTTAAATATTCAGGGTGTTTCTTGAGTACGTGTAAAAAATCAGGAGCATGTTGCTGGCGTCAAAATAAGAAGAAAAGTTCGTATAAACATATATGTCCGCAAGTTATTCATTATTGAGATACAGTGTCAAAGGATTCGTATTCCTGTTTTTTGGGAATAAATTTGGTATCTCACTCGAATTCACCAAAAACCGGAATGACAATGAAACTTTGACACTCTGTATATCAGAAACGAATAACTTGTGGACATATGTTTATAAAAACTTTTCTTATTTTTATTTTGACGTCAGCAACATATGCTCCTGAATTTTGTACACGTACTTAAGAAACTCCCTGTGTACAGAAATGGCCGTGTACATGGTGCAGATTTTGATTCTGAAGTAAATTGTTGGGAATTGAGCAAATTTTGTTATCTAATATATAAATTTAAACATTGTCTTGCAAAAATTGGACGTCCTGATTCCGAATCCGAAGTGATTTTCAACCTATCTTGTCTCCCTAATCCATTGTTGTTGGTTAGGGTTAGGGTTATGTCGGCATTGTATTTTTGTATTATTCTTCTTCTTCTTCTTTGTTTCTTGGCGATGGCGAGTTTCTTGGCCTATCTGTCAAGTATACTACTTACCACTTAGTATCTGTCAAGTATGCTACTTACGACTTAGTATCTGTCAAGTATACTACTTACCACTTAGTATCTGTCAAGTATGCTACTTACGACTTAGTATCTGTCAAGTATACTACTCACCACTTAGTATCTGTTAAGTATGCTACTTAAGACTTAGTATCTGTCAAGTATACTACTTACCACTTAGTATCTGTCAAGTATGCTACTTACGACTTAGTATCTGTCAAGTATACTACTTACCACTTAGTATCTGTCAAGTATGCTACTTACGACTTAGTATCTGTCAAGTATACTACTTACGACTTAGTATCTGTCAATTAGGCTAGTTGACAGTTATATCTGTCAATTATTAAAAAAATATATCATGTGGCGCTTCTACGCTTTCGTAACTTCCTCTGTCTAATCTGCTCCGTGTTCGTTAATTGTCAGAGCGAGCTGAAAGATGTAATCTGTTTGCTCCGCCTTGAGGAGCAGATCATTCAGATTTGATCGGTTATTCGGTTGTCAATTGTCAACAAATCAATGTCAACAACATGTTATTGAAATTATATCTCTTTTATGTCGAAAAATTCAAGACTCGATCAACTGGAAACGAAACACGAAACTGAATTTTGTAGAATCTTCCTTGCCCAGAATCGCCAGAATGCCCTGGATCCACAGTTAATGCCCGATCATATGAGACAGAATCATTCCTTCCCTAGTAATTATCAAAATATAAACAACAAACATTCAAAAGAACTTTGTTGCCCTGACGTGTTTTCAAAAGTAATAAGGTTAAGTGAATTGTTTCTGTTTTCTGTTACTTCTGATAGCTGGCGCTCGCAATCTACTACCTCCTTGAGCGTTCGTTAAATATCTTTAGCTCTATCTGCTAGGTGATCACGTGACACAAATCTGCATCTGCTCGCTCGGCTCCGATTTTGTTAAACCGAACGCACCTAGTGACTGCATTTGAATGAAAACTCGTGCGAAAACATAGAAGGGCAATCAAAAATAGAAAATTACTCAAAAATCTGGTGTTTCATGTTTTAGCGTGTCTAAAAGTACGCCAGCGTGGATCGAATTGCTCAGACGTGCAAGAGGTAATAACAAATTCTCACTGTTTTGCTATCGACCCAACTACTGGGTCTTTAAACAGTGACACTTTTGAACTTTCAATAAATTTCAAACTTTCATTGCCAAATAAATAAACAATAATAAATAAACATTTCAAATCAAATTAAAAAGTTGTGACATAGTTGTGACTTGTGAGTTCTAATCTTCTATTATTGTATTATTATTGTGTAATTAATTTCATGTACTGATAAAGAACATTGGATTATCAGATGATTTCAAAGATTCTCACTCTCCACCAACATAGCTACTTATTTCTCTCATTTCTGATTCCTTGTTCCATATTCACATTCATAAAAAGTTGTGAAAATATCACAGTATAAGAAATGTTGACATCTTCACCTGATGATTTGAAAAAATATGAAGATAAAACACAATCCAGGTAATTTTTTATTTTGCCAGATTTCATTTGAAAAATTACCAATCACATTTCAATAAACATTTATGATATGAATTTTGCTAAACAATTTCTAGAATATACAGTTCTCACTTGTCTACATGTATTGTCAAAATTATATTGTTCTGTAATAACTTTCATATTAAGGTAATTATTAATAAAATCATGATGATTATTTCTCTATTTTGATATGTAACCTCTACTTTTTTGTAAAATCTTTCAGCTGGCTAAGTCCAACATGGTTGTCATGGAATAAATACTCAGAAAATATGCTCAGAACAATAGAAAAGAAGATACTCCAAAGTAAGAGGAGCACATTGAATTAATTTATACTTTCTCTCATCAATGTGATTCATTTTTATAGTTGTGAGAACACCACACCGGGGTTGCTTTGTTGATATTGGCCCTGTTGTTGGTCCAGCTGACAAAATTTGGACACTATCATTGAACACTGAATCACAGAAAACACCCCTGGTACTTCTCCATGGGTTGGGTGCTGGTATTGCATTATGGTGTTTGAATTTGGATGCTTTTGCTGCTACTCGTCCAGTCTATGCTATTGATTTATTAGGTTAGTATCAGAATTCCAGCAGAACTTGAACCTACCAATTCTCGTACCAATTTCATACTCAAGTGCGCAATATTTGTTATTCAGCATAATTGTTTTGTCTGTCTTAGGATTTGGTAGATCATCTAGGCCAACTTTCAGCACAGATAGTATAGAAGCTGAGCAGCAAATGGTGAGGTCTCTAGAAGAATGGAGGAAAGAAATGAAATTGAAAGAGATTATTTTCCTTGGTCACAGTATGGGTGGATTTTTGGCAGCATCATATTCATTATCATACCCAGAGAATGTGAAACATTTGATATTAGCTGACCCTTGGGGGTTTCCTGAAAGGCCAAAAGAGTATAAAGATGTACCATTTTTGATAAAAACTGTATCTTATATTATGAAACCTTTCAATCCCCTAGCTGGTATTAGGTTAGCTGGACCTCTAGGTAAGTAAATATCATTTTGTAGGTATGCATAATAATGATGTGAGATGGAAAATCTGAGTTATCCCTGTATATGAGGAATGACTTATTATTCATTTTTCAGGACCTTGGTTCATCAATAGAGTCAGGCCAGATATTTCGAAGAAATATTCAATTGAACTGAATGATCCCAATTTGATTCCCCAATATATATATCAGTGTAATTCCCAATATCCCAGGTAAGTAGTTGAAGAAGTTGACAACTATAAAGTTTCAATGTTGATGAGAAATTATGATGAATTGTGATAGTTTCATAGAAGGGATATCTCATTCACATTACCGTTTACCCCTCATGCTTAAAGCTCATTTCATTTTGTTTAACCATGAAGTCATTTCTATTTGGGTAAACCTCCCTTGCCTGCTCTTGGGTTTAAATACCAACTCCAACATTGGCAAAGGTGTTAATGTTAAACTTGAAGATTTGTTTACAAAGAAGATATGGAAACACTCAAATTACAAATCAATAGAGTGGACTGCAAAATACAAGATACATAGGCAAATGTACAAATGTTCTGAAATTGTAGAGTAGAGATTATGAAAGTAGATTTATTTAGGTAATTTCATGTTTTGGATCTATCAAGGGATCTATATGGCTTCAACTCTCCTCATTCAAAACATGTGATAGGAATCTGATTCTAGGTAATGATCTATTTAGGTTTCAACCCCGACAGCACCGGATATTCCTAGAATATTCTCTAAATATGCTAGAAAAGAAGAGTATATCTCGAATATTCCTAGAATATATATGTGCCTCTGGAATATCCAGAGAATATTCGAATTTGAATGTTCTAGTAATTTTCCAAAATGATATACATGGAATATTCCAGAAGGAATGTTCCAAGAATATTCTAACTGAATATTCTGATTTGTATATTCATGGAATATTCCATAAATATTATTCTCATGTGTTTCAATGAAATATGGTATAGTATAAACACCAATCACCATATTATATTCCATAGATGGAGTATCAAACATTTATTATGATAAAAATGTGGTAGAAATCCATCATATCTCAAAGTGGAGTGGTTAGTTACTAGGAATCAGAAACACAAAGCCACATCACCACAATTTTAATAGGGATCAAATTACTCAATCAGATCAACATACATGTTTCTATCTCATATAGGCTCATCTTTATCACTATGTATCAAGATTTTGAAACATAAAGTCTTTATGATCCGAATCTGAACAACGCTCTTTAAGAAATCGTTATGTACAATATCATTCAACTCGATTACTGGCCTAGTGGTTGAAGCGATGCTCTGACAATCTGAAAGTCGCTAGTTTGAGCCCATCTTGTTCTTGGGTCAGCTGTTTTTGATTGTGAATATGTTTAGTGGAACAATCCAGGAATATTCATTTATTAATATTCCTGTAGTACCCTTGGAATATTCCGAATATCACCTGAATATTTCTAGAATATTATAGGTACATTCTGGATATATAGGGAATATTTCTTGTGAATAATCTAGGAATATATACTTTCTTTTCCACCAGCATATTCTATGAATATTCATGTAATATATGGTGCTGTCTGGGAAAGAAATGAGGATTCCTGAGATGATGACACCTGATACTTCTTAGAGCAGTGATTGTGGCAATACTCTGATGATTCAATTTCTTTATCCAAATGAAGTAATATGTAATTTCTTCCTAGCATAACTTATGTGAAATGTGTGAAATCATCCATCATAAACAAATGGTTGCAAACTACTTATTCTTTTTCATTTTCTATTTAAATAGGCATGATCAATTAGGTTTGCACATTAACAATACAATTTTGGATTCAAAATAAAAGAGTGAGGTTATAACTGGGTAAAGTGAAAGAAATGGACTTTGCTGCCTCCCACCACCTTCGCCAAAATACTATTGTGAATGAAATACTCCTATAGTTGGATCAATTTTTTTTTAGTGGAGAAAGTGCCTTCCGTTCCATGATGTCAGATTTTGGATGGGCAAAAAATCCAATTGTTAGAAGGATTGATCAGCTGAGAGCTGAAATTCCCATAACACTCTTATATGGTTCTAGATCATGGATAGATCATTCAGCAGGAGAAATAATCAAAGAGAAAAGGATACATAATTATTTCAAGTTACAGGTGATTATTATTTATTTAACTATAACCATTTGATGGATCTATTGTGGATTCATTGAAGAGGTTCACCCCTTGTATATTTTCATTATTTTTCAGTACCCTTTTGAGAAATTTTACTGATTGATCCCTATAAGTATGACATACTGCAAGTACTTTTTATAATTGAAACACCATTTCTTATATCATTTTATCACTTTTGTGATATGGTGATAAATAAAAACAATTTTTGCATTTTGGCATCTATAGATTTGTTGGAAGCTATGAATGAGAATATATTTGATAGTTGTATCTTGCAGCATTATCTACAATACATTGTTTAGATCTATGACAAATCCATATATTCATCATGTAGGGCTTGGAAATAAAATCCTTAATCAAGGAAACCCTATCAGGAATCTGTGATTAGAGGTCTGTAAAAATAACAAATTTCCATCCTTCAAGTTTGAACCCCTTGATTGGGAGGTTATATTTTTATATCATTATACATATTATTCATCCAATTTTAAAGGGAATGTCTATCTCAGATTTTTATTTTCCTATCCTCTTGAATGTTCAACAGATCCGTATAATTCAATGTTCCACATGGCAAATAGCCAGGGGAAAGTAATTGTTTTCTGTTGAATATTCAGAATGATATTATATGCTTATAAAATATATATTTTCATCTGAGAATGCAAATCCTCAACTTCAGATTCAAGATTTTATTTTCCAAATTCTAATTGTGTGTGTTCCATAGATGTAATTCAATGTTCCTCTTGGCATATAGCCAGGAAAGTAGTTGTTTTCTGTGGAATATACCAAGAAATTAGTTATTTATTATACAAGGGAAGAAAGTAGTAGATTTTAGCTCCAGGTTGTGTTGTCTCCCGACGCGTAGCGTTGATTGAGTTATTACTAATTCATCAGACAAAAATCGTTTCTCTGGGATCACAAAAGTGATGATGGCGAAACAAATATATAAGATTTTTACAAATCCCTAAAAAAATGAATTGAAAAATGGAATTGTGGTTCACATGCTTTTGGAAATCACCCTGTGAAAACTGTAACAAGGGCGTCATTGCAACATTCATCTTTTGCCTACTGTTCATTTTTCGTGGTGAAAAATAGAGTTTAAGCTCTTGTATACACACCCTGTGAACCAAGCTATCAAAAATAATCTTGGATTCAAAGTCCAGAAGTCCAGGAAAAAAAAAGCATACTTGTATGTATTCACTGATATAAAAATATACAAGTTTCAGATTATCAAAAGGTAATACCATGAACCCTTCAAATTATTGTATCAATATTTTTTTCCTATTCTAGGAAAACTTTTATTATTTGGCAAATATGTAAAAACAAACTGATTGATAAAATCAGACAAGGGATTTTATCTATACTGGGTTTGTTTGAATGGTTTTGCCTCAAATATGTTTTTTTTTTTCAAGAACTTTATTCATTTAATGCCATTACAATTTCAAATATTATTTGAAATGAAAGCATTGTCCAAAGAAAGGCTATCCAAAACAGCACTAACATGCTGGTCTCGGAAAACTAGATAAACAATATACATAATTATCTCATTTACAATACTGCAATGAAATAATACTATTAAAAATTCACTCACGAATTATATAACACGAATATAACTTAAAATCAACAGTATAAACTGGGTTAGAAAAATGAAAAAGTGTTTTGAAATTAATGACCTATTAGAAATACTAGGGGATATTAAATTTTTAAGATCACAAATGTCCCATGATCTTGAAATAATATCATTGCATTTCTGTGTGCTTTTAGTTTCTTCAACCTGTATAGAAAATTCATCCTAATCAGTATTCATTGCTTAACAGCAACTGTTGTTTGATAGGCATCAATATATACAGTATGATGCAAATGTATGGAATAAATTCATTATTTCAGAAATGGGCGACATTTGAAGAAATTCCAAAAACACGTGTTTTAATTTTTGAAGCCTCATCTCATGACATTCATATGAGAGATGTTACGTCACTGGTGTTGGAGTAATGACGTAATGGACGATTTTTTCAAATACAAACAGGGGTCATGTGACACCTCGTTTGAAAGGTCTACTGATCGTCTATGCAACAGTCAAAATTTCGCATAATAAGATTGAAATTAAAATGGTTTATCATTTGGTTAACTGAATCTTGCAGAGGTCTGCTACTCAGAATTGAACATCGAGGGATCGTTTAGTTGAAAAAATACAAAATACAAAAAAGTTCTGAACTGGAACTCTAGTTTTTGGATTTTTTTCGGGATTCGTCTTGTTTTGAAATGAATTTATTCCATACATCTGCATGATACTGTATATTTCAATTTAGGTTATCACTGGAGCCGGACATCATGTTTATGCTGACAAACCTGAAAGTTTCAACCAGATAGTTTTAGATGCCTGTGAATACACAGATTCACTCCAAAACCGAAATAATCTTGCAATAATGCCTTCAGAATCAGATCAACCTGAAAGTGATAGCAATTATTAAATATCACAGATTCAGTCATCACATGTACCTATGAATATTTTATATTTTCAGTTTTTTAATTTTGTGATATGTACCAGCATTGCCTATTAATTTAGATTTTTTAAACATAAATGAAATTATCAATTAAATCTTCATGCATTATGTACTAGCACATAAGAAGTAACTTTAAGTAAGCTACTTTGTTAATCATTGTCAAATTGAAATACTAATGCTGAAAAAACTGGCTCAGGGTAAACTGTACATTATAATTTTATTTATACAAATACTTTATAGGTATAATGTTGTAAATTGTATTTTTATATCAAACATTCTAGCTGTGATAATAAATTTCACTTATCATTAATGATGCTTTTTAATTTTGATTGGGGTCCATCACAGTGGATATTGTATATCACAGAAATTGGAACCTTTTTAGAGTTTTCAAGAAAATTAAACTGCAAGCCTAAAAAATAACTGTAAGAATGACTGTCAGAAACAAAACATCTTGATACAAATTTGAAGTCTGGTGATATGATATATAGGGTCGTGTTTCCAAGTTGTAGTGACGATATGAAAGATATTTCGAGTTTTCGAGACACAGTATGTTGAGCTCCAAAACCCTTCAGCCAATTTGAATGTTTTCACGGTTTCGAGTCAAATATTGGAAGAAATACTGGTCCTACGAAGAAAATCAATCGTGAAATTGTAGCAAACCCATTCAGCGTCGATTCATGTGCAAATATAGGCTTGTATATCCAATGGTTGACTATCATAATCTGCAAAAACTAAAAAATGAGAAAATTTCATTTTCAGTGCAATTATTCAATCTGAGCCCTTTCCATTACACCAAAACGGACCTTCTAAAAATATACTTCCAAATGACGTAAAACTATTTATTATAGTTGTGTCTGCAAATTGATTTGCGAGGTTAGCAAGCAAGCGAGACAATAGACAGTTTTTCGCCGAGGTGCATATTATTTTCTTTTTCGTCGACCACTACCACGCGTAAAATCTAGCGAATTAATTAATTTGACAACAGCATGACAGATATTGTCAACTCAATCGCCGCTCTCCCACGAGTTTGCGGACGAAAAGTGTCTGATGTGGACGAAAAATAGTCGATTTTTCATTCGGAAATTTGACGATCCAACTCAGGTCAGAATCAATAAGGCGCCTGGTTGGTACCATAACTAAATTCAAAAGAATGATGTGTTTATATCAATTAAATTGTTTCCTTTTGTGATAATTAGAAGTGTACTCCTGATACGAACAGAGATATTTATATAAATACAATTTATTTGCCATAAATAATTTCATTTTGTGCCAACCAAAGCATTTGTAGAGGACGAAAAATAAACTTATTCAGATACGTAATTGTTTATGGTGATTATAGTAACAAGGTGTTGTTTGGATGCTCTTGGGTACAGAAGGGTCATCATCGCAGAAGGAACTAGCCGGAAGATCAGTAGAAAAATGGACATACTGCTCTGTATACATGGTTTCTTCAAAGACCAGTATATCTGGCAAATCAAAAACCCAATTGAATAGGGTACAAAAACTTGAGTGTCTTGCGACAAGTTCAATAAGGACAGTACCCACTAGGGTCCTAGAGACACTCATAGGACTGCACTCCTGCACCTCTTCATTAACATGTGGCAGAAAAAGTATTCGCTCGCTTGAAAAGATCCAATCAATGTTCTCAATCAAGGAATCATGTAGTAAAGGACTGTCCACTTCTCGAGATGTTAGGGGACAGCTCTACAACTGTAATACGGTTCAGCAAAAGGCCACAGTTGAATATCCAAGAGGGAGGACTGGGAGCAAAATGGGCACTGCCGAATCCTTAAATGAGTCAGTTCGCTGCGGGTGTCTGAATGCATCGATGATCTGCAGGCTGACTATTTCAGACTAAAGGTACAAAAAGCTCAATTATTATTGGACCAGAACAAATCCTGGGTGTCTCTATATCATAGAGCCTCTCAACCATGCAGAAAATGCTGGAAGTGAAATACCAAAATGCATAGAAATAATTCTGGCATTAGACAATCCGAATGGTAGCTAGGGCTCCTCACGGGGCACTGCTACCGAAACAAGCAGCTAAACATCAAATAGGTATTTTTTTATGTTCTGGTTCCCACGAAAAGAGATATTCTGGAATGTTCAGAGAACATCGTGAGAACCAAGGGAAATAAGGTAGGCAATGTGTTCCAGAGCCTTGCTGTTCGTTGGATGAACGAGTCTTTGGAAAAAGATGTTCTGCAGGTCTCCAAAGTGCGGCCACGAAGGGGTGCGAAGTCTCAACTCCACGGGCTAATCTCGCGGGGACAGCCAAGGGAGGAACAATTTTTGATATTTCAGAAGAGTAACGTCCATGAAAATATCTATAAAATGGAGCCAGTTCGCCAACTTTTCTACGGTGTTCCAGAGAAGTGAGTTTGTGAGCAAGGCATTACCCACGAGACGAATTGCCCTTTTTTGGACAGAATCCAACAGTTTCAGGGTATGTTTGGGTGCTGAACTCCAAATATGGAAACAGTATTCCAGGACAGGTTGGATCTGTGCCTTATAGATCATAAGCAGCTGACTGGAAGTGAAATAGCTCCTGGCCCGAAACAGAAAACAAGTTTTTGGGATGCACTTTTAGCAATTGATCTCACGTAATTCTCCCAAGAAAGGTTATTGCTAATAGTAATACCAAGCATCAAAATGGATGTCTTCAAAGGTATGGTTAATCCTGACAATCTTTGTTGGACACAGTGAGATCGGCTTTTCTAGAGAAAAGGCATGCTTCTTTTTTGTTTGCATTGAAATCTACCAAGTTATTGGATCCCCATTCGAGAATAATTGTTGCCCAGTCCATAGTCATGTTGTCAACATTTCTTCCTCGTTCCTTTCTGATTTGCCTGGCTGATATTGGAGCCCTGGAAGAGAAGGCGGTATGGAGGGTACTATCATCCGCGAAGCTGTGTACTGGATATGAAGTTTCTTCCAACAAATCGTTCATATGGAGTAGAAATAGTGTTGGTGCTAGAATTGATCCTTGCGGAACACCATCATTTATGATAAGAGAGTCAGATGAAACTCCGTCGACTACTACATGGAGAGACCTGTTTGAGAGAAAACTAGCTAGCACAGAACATAGCTGGAGAGGCAAGCCATAAGATGAAAGCTTGGCGAGGAGTCTGTGGTGCCAGACTCGATAGAATGCCTTGGAGATATCAAGTGCCACGGCTAAGGTTTCACCATGTTTTTCAATAGATTGCTGCCATATATGTGAGACGTAAGCGAGCAGGTATGATTCTGAATGTAGGTAGTGCTTAGAGGATGAGAAGTCAGCTACCCACATCCTCACGGAATGCCCAGCAGTACCAGTCAGGTCAGCCTCTTTTGAATGTAGGTAGTGCTTAGAGGATGAGAAGTCAGCTACCCACATCCTCACGGAATGCCCAGCAGTACCAGTCAGGTCAGCCTCTTTTGAATGTAGGTAGTGCTTAGAGGATGAGAAGTCAGCTACCCACATCCTCACGGAATGCCCAGCAGTACCAGTCAGGTCAGCCTCCTTCGCTCCCGAAATTGGCTCCTTCGCTCCCGAAATTGGCTACCTCGAGAACCAAACCAAATCTCATCATGGGTGTGTTCATAATTGATCCAATTCGCGGTAGCCAAGGTCATCATCTGACGTTGCGATGACATGAAAACTACGGGAAAACATTGATAACTCCTGGCTCAGATTGAAAGTTAGACATGTTTTCCAGTAGTTTTCATGTCATCGCAATGTCAGATGATGGCCTTGCTTACCGCGAATTGACGAGGTATTGGTTCCGCCACAAACTTCTACATTCTGTCTTATCAATCCTGCATTAGATGTGAGATGACAGCACTTAGCGTCCCAGGCTACCAGATGACGTTTCAGTGACGTCTTTTTTACGTTACTTGAATGACCAAGGTGACATCAGTAGTTGACGCCGAATGACGTCATATTACTCACGTCGTATTGACGTCATTCACTCACCAAACTGTGACGTCCGACTGACGTCAAAATGACGATTGAATTTGGCGATGATACGTAAAAAAAAACTTCAACATGGTGTGATTAACACCACTAGCCTCTGATGACATTATATAATATTGATTATGCATTATTGAGTCTGCTTGGTGGGTCCCTCCTGTGTTATGTTGATTCAATCGCCTATTCAGCAGCGCCATCCTTCAGTACGCGTATTTGTATCAAAAATTATGTAGTTTGTGTCGGCGAGATGTAAGCAAACAAAGAATAGTTTGATAGCAATGGAAAGGATGTTGGCGAATTTGGCTTCACTTTGTTGAATACTATATATTGATGCATTCTTTGTCACCCAACAAAAATCTTAATAGTAGATTATTGAAAAATTTCCTTAATGATGAAGCTCACCAAATTGGTACGTCACACCGACGTGATTTTTAGACGTCATAGATACGTCACTGCGACGTCATAAGAGTAACGGTTTCAATATAGGTATACCTAAACGATCATTTTCATATTATATACATAGCTTATTGGTTTCCGAGATATACAGTGTATCAAAGAACTTGCCCCAATGACGGCATGAAATGAACTTTGAAATTCAACAATTAAACAACGCATAAACACATTATTTACATAAAAAACGCGTAAGAAGTGCTGCAAAAATTAATTCAGGTCCGTATCGAAACAGTGAAGTAATTGAATGCCAATTATTCACTACCAGTCCACTAGCCCAATCACAAAGTGGGCGGCCTCTGGTGAAGAACTTCAGAACCTTTCCGAGGGTGGTCAACAAACTAATTCAGAGCATTGTCAGCATAGAATTTATAATTGTTTAGAACACAGGCTCGATCTTATTTGAGATATTCATTGTATTTGTTCCTGAACAAATCGCAAAAAAACACTTTGGTTGAAAGACTTGAAGTAATCTCATGAAAACCTAAAAAAAATTGATCAGGAAAAATGTTTGGGTATGTTAATGAAAGAATGAGGAAGGTAGGATCAATTTGAATCAAAGTTGTGGCTACTACTGACCTAATAATGTAGTCTCTAGACCGCTAATGCCATAAGGAAAAAACTATGTCACGAGATGAAACTGGAGAACATGCACATTTTGGACCTGTCATATATCTTACTCACTTTTACCAATGTCGGCTAAATGAGAAAGGAATCTAGTCAGCTGACAATCTGGGGCTCTTATGTTTCCAAACACCAAGACACGTAACTCGATGTCATGAACAACAGTTTGGGAGTTCCTGCGCATTGAACTGAATCGTTTTCAGGCTAGCATTATACCAGAAATTTTCGGGTTGCTGATGGGATATGACATGTTGCGGTCTAGATATAGTTTTTGTAAGTGGTGGCTACCAATACTCGAGTTTTTTGCAAAGAAACACTTAACATTAACTCCAGTTTTTTGCAAAGAAACACTCAACATTAACTCTGGTACTCGTTTCCGGTAGCATCTATTTTCATAGGAGTAGACGGATAGCTGACATATTGTTGACATTTTGAATGACGAAATGGTGGTGATAAGAACCCAAAAATTGCATTATCATATTTCATATTGCAACTATAGAGGTTATATGAAATCTCATATTGATACTACTTATACACTTATAGTGTGTCCATATAGTCACAACAACCATTTTGATAATTAAAATGTTAACAAAAAGTTGCCATATTAAAAGTCACACAAATATATATTTCAATAACAGATCATATATTTGGCAAACAAAGGTTAATTATTTACAAAAATATTTGTAAAAATATATAGTTCAATAATTTCCTAATAAAAATAGAATAAAATATGTTAGGTAATGAATATAGAATACAAATCAAGCAAAATAATATATAGGTGTATGTACCATGTTGAATGTACCATGTATTGCTGACGGATCATTTTTCCCAAAATAATTAGGTAACGAAGTCAATTTATACATTAATGAATTCATAAAAACATTCTTCATCAAATAATTGAGAAAAATATGTCTCCAATTGAAAAAAAAATGACAAACCACTGACGTTAAAGTTTCAGAGAACACGTGAAGTGATTTCAGTTTCTATTGTATAAACTCTGGTATCAGTCAGCCTGTAAATACTCATGGCTAATATGAATGAATGAGAAATATCAATGAATTAAATTGATGATAACATAAAGCCTAGTAGTGCGGATAACTATTTGAATAAAATGTTAGTTATATCTTAGGATTATAAAATCTCAGTTATTTCAGATTATAAAGAGACAACCAATCAACTCAAGATACATACTAATTAAAAATTGATAATGTTAATACTGCAAGGTACTGAATATTTAATTAACAGCATAATAAGTTGGTATCTTCTTTGGACATATATGCCTATTTAATTCATCACTCATTGAGTGATATTAACTGGACCCCATTTTGATTGGCCAAATTTCGATGTCATTGGTATATACCTACCCGATTAAATAGTGATAATTCACGACCTGGTAGTTGGTTCAAACTAGAGTCCCTGTATATACCTTAGACAAGAGTCCGGACACAAAACTGACAGCCGTTGGGGTTTTTAATATTTTGTTCCTTTTCGTTTGCCAACCTGACAATGTGACGAAACACCATAGTCGTCCCGCCCGCTTTCTTCAATTATTTCGAATTTCTGTCACTGTCACTTCGAAATTTTATGACCGCCAAAAGTTAGCATTTCAAATCATTTCTATGTCCTGCTGCGTACATTATTGCGATAATTCATTAGAAAAGGGATTCGAGTTATTCAATTTTCCGAATGATCCTTTGAAGATAATGTCATGGAAGAATGCAATGAAAGAAATCCGCAATATGTGAGGTAAACATTCGAATTTACTTGTAAAAACAGTACAAAAAAAGATTAATTTTATTAGGCCCATTTTGATAGAGATTCTTTCAAGCTGATGGATTTCAAATTGAAAGAGTCTGCTGTGCCGTCAATTTATAAAATAGAGACGTTCATAAAAAGAGTTCCGTCGTCATCGTATTGGGAATTACTGAATGATACGATCGCAGAGAAAGAAAATGATGATGAGATGATGAGGAAAGAAATTGAGAGTTTGAAATCAAAACTAGAAGATTTAGAGAAATTGCAATGTGCTATGTCATCAGTCCACGGCGTTTTTAATTCACCATCGGAGGAATCCTAGACGATATAGGTACCTATAGATACTGATCTTAAGAATCTTGCAAATATGATTTCCATTATATCTACTATATAGTATATGTACCATGAGTTCAATATAAGTATAGTTATAGTTCAATATGAGTATAGTTATTAGGTGTATATAATAGTTTATCAATTGGATCTTCGACATATCATTGTCATTGTCCCTAATGTTAGATAAATATAAAAATCATTGTTTATAAGGCATAAAGGTATATATATTGTTATTTTGATTTTGTCACTTCAATTTCTGCTGAGTGTTATTAAATTGAGAGAATCGGAGAAAATTATATTGAAACAATTATATATCTTCTATTTTTTTTATATCCGATCAGAAAACAACTATATTTTCTTCTCTCTCTACCACATAGAACACTTGGATTATCTTTCTTATATCAAATGAAGTGAAGAAATATCTGATAACGAAAAGTTGCAATAGCTATCTCATATTTATTCTAGTTAAAATAGCCTATTTCTCACTTCTACCTACGGCTATGAACGGTTTGACAAATAATCTAACCTTCAAAATTGTTTCTGACAAGTATTGATACTAGGGGAATTGAAAAGACAGAGCTCGATATATATGTCTTATTCCTTTATTCAATCATCAATGCATTTTTTGAAAACAGAAAAGGACAGAAGTATAGCTGTGTCCGGACTCTTGTCTAAGATATATACAGGGACTCTAGTTCAAACAAATTTTTCTCTTAAACATTCTAAAAAAAAATATCAGAAGAACATCTTGGACGGTAAAAAATAATGACTTTAGATCTTTCAATGACAGAAATATTCCATGCATAAATATGAGAACATCTTGGACGGTGGAAAATAACTACTTTAGATCTTTCAATGACAAAAATATTCTCCATGCATAAATATTTTGTTTGAAATTCTGACATATCCAAATAGTGAATGAACATATTTGAAATATAGTTACCTCGAATTAGGCGCAAAGATTTAATTAGTTAGTTAGTTATATATTAATATAGATTTAGTTAGTTAGTTCACTTGAGCCGCTTTCCAATTGAAAATTTGTTGTCCCTGAAATGAACTGGTACTAACCTACACTTGAACTGACCTCAGGATGTTGTAACTTTTATCCGAGTATTTTTAGTGACATTTTATTGACGGATTTGGTTCGAAATTCGAATTTGAATTTTTGATTGTAGTATTCTCATGATGGAAAGAACTTTTGGATTATATGATTTTGGTAGGTGTAATGTCTCATCTGACACATTTCATATTAAACACATGAAATGATGCTGAAGCAAATTGAAACGCTATAGAGTAGGTAGTGAAAATTCTGATAATGAGGCTTAAGCGGATATTACAATAAAAAGAAAGAGAATTCGAATCAAAAATATCATGGAAGATACTGTGTTGTTGTTGTGCTTTAAGCTTTAAGGAAGTCCTTCGCTGGTCCTCCTGGGCCAAATATATTCTATATACTGTTCTCCGTTTTCGGTATCATCTATAGGTATTTCCCATATCCCTCATTGTTTTGTATTTGATAAGGTTGAATAGAGCTCTAGCATGGGTACCAGCACACACAGGGAACGAGGACAAAGAAGAGACAGGAGCAAACAACTCTGAATGGCTCAGAACCCTTTTGTGGTATTGCGAAAGCTATACAAAAGATGAGTATCAAATCATGGATGCAAACCAAATCTCAAGAATGGTGGAACAATTCGCCAGGAATGAGTCGGGCAACAAAGTTTATTTAAAAACAATCGCCAACATTCACAGAATATCTACTGAGCCAGAAACGAAGTACAACTAAAATACTAGTGGGACTTCTCACAGGTCATTGTAGGATCAACAAACACATGAGTACGATAGGTCTGACTGAAGAACTGCTGTGCAGGTTCTGTCAGGAAGAGGAGGAAACAGCAGTACACATACTTTGCCACTGTGAGGTCTTGTCAAGACTATGGTTCTTTATACTGGGTGAGGAAAAATCAAGAGCCCAAAGTTACACAGGGGATCTGAAAGCTAGCCTATGGAGTCTCATAGAGAAGGCGAGGCTAGCCTAAGAACTCTAAACGATTTTGAGACACAATAGATCTGAAAAGGTCGCGGTGTGGAGGCAGATAGCCCGAAGGCCCCACTCTAAATCTAATCTAAGGTTAAATAGATATACCAGTTATTAATGATGAAAAGAAGGTCGTCAATTCAATTGCTGTTTTCTACTAACATCTAATAAATAATACTATCCTCTCCTTACAGAACACAAAATAATCATTTCAAAAGACAAACATACAACTGACGCGTCTGACAGACACTGTACAAATCTTCCCTTCTTTAGTAGACACTGTTTTGTCGGTCAGACATTAAAAATAAATAATGAAAATACCTAATCCGCCACTGGAATTCAAGATATTTTTGTTCCAAATGACCTGTTAATTTATACAAGGTGAGTCATCAGTAATGCGTTGGTCTATATGTGTATAATCATAAAACATCACAGAAAAACAGAGTATTTTTATATTCGTTCTGATGTTTTTCAACGAAACTCAAATCAATTTAGCGAATTTTTACATTGAAAAAATGGAAAAAAACGAAAAATTCATGCTTTGAGTAATGAATAATTATATTTAGCCATTTTTTACCAAGTCATTATGCTTGGATTCCTTGATCGAAACTGTTATGACAATTTGACAATATTACTTAGTTGAAATTATAGCCAACAGCCGAGTTGGTGATACATTGAAAAAAATGAAAAGAAAAAAAATCGAAAAAATTCATGTATTGAATAATAAACTATACCTATATTTTTGTTTGTATGATTTTCGATATTTCAATGTTTATTCACAGGCATTGTACGATCTGATCTGAAAAAATTCTTCTATTTGATTGTATGCTTCAATCAGTGACAGGTAATCTAGAAAGAGGCACTGGTGAGGTTGGAGGTCATGTCAGTTGTCATTATTTCTTTCTTTATTCGTAGTAACGAAATTTCTTTATGATGATTAATATCTAAAAGTTGTATTATTGTGCCTTTTCAATGGTCCTCGAGAACGTTTGGAACGAGCAAAGAATGCAGATACCTACATCGCAACTCCATTTCTTAGGTACGCGCGCTGTTCCACGAATATTATAGGAATGTCCTTTTGTACGCTCAAAGAGATAGAAAAAGACCATGAAGCTGAGAAATGACTCCCAGACACATTGGTGCCGCCACGCGGGAGCAATATCGGGAAGCCCTGCCATTGGTTAAAGCCATTATTTCTCATAACCCTTTATATGAAAACGACAAATCGCGAAGTGAAACTGGCACCTCTTCCATCCACCGAATGAATTGACTAGAATATGAGTATGATCATGAGGAAATAAAAATATTGTGGTTCAACTTCACACCCGCTCCAACTGACTTACGGCATGCAATAATTGTTTTAAGCAGGAGACGCATCCAAGATTTGAAATTTAAAATAAATTAGTACGGAAATATAATATAATTCTTATTTGACGCTGGTATTAGACTATATCTTAAATAAGAAGATAGGTAGTAGTTGGCGCTGGCTCAGAAGGGAGTGTTTACTAAGTTATGAATATATAGTTTCATAGTGGTTGTAATGATTGTATTCCGCTTTGAGTTCGAGTTTATTCTCAGGAATCATTGAAACAATAGAAATATGACATAAATTAAATGTGATGTGACTATCTTTCCATAAAGAAAACAATAACCTTAACGCCATGTCATAAGTCATAATATCAGACAGGTGTAATATTGCGTTCAATATTAACTGATTTCTGTGGTTTCCAACGCTGTCTTCTTAGTTTCTAACTATAGGCTCGTCGTAGGTACCTATTTTTAGTGTTTTGTACCACAAAAAAATAAGAATTGAGTTATACATAACTTATCACCCTTAATGATTGGTACACTTGCTGAAGACTAGGTACTTTGTAACCACCACCACTACCACTGAATATATTATTATGATTTTGTTTTCAGTGAGACCCTAAATAAACACATGGTGAAAGTTAGTATTAGTTGAAGGTTGAATACTACCATGCATGAATAGGTATTTCTATTTTGAATGAAAAATGGACCTGAGGAACCATATGGATTTACTGTTAACCGCCATAAATAACTCACTCAATATAATATCTTGACTAGAAAAATGTGAAACTGAAGCAATTATGTCACCAAATAAAGACTGGCTCCCAGCAGTCAATTGAACAACAAATGAACATGGATAGTGAAGATGACAGATCATACAGACAAAAGAAAAATCCCAGTGGAACTTTCATTGAAATTTGAATATAAAATTTTTACCTCAGAAATATCACATGTCATATAAAAAAGTTTAATAATTATTGAAAAGAGGTAGGTCTTGATTTAGGTATTGAAATTTTGAACCAAATATAATCATATTTTGTGATTGGTTAATTGCATATTTTCTATTTTGTGATCTTCATCATTAAATGGTTCTATTTTATTTTTCGTCTCTTGGTAATTATTGTCTTCCTCATCTGCTTCTTTTGTTATGTCTCCATTTGAATTTTGAGCAGAATCAGTTAACTTACAAACATCCTTAACAGTTTGATTGAATAACTCTGGTTGATCAGCATTGATGTGGTGGCCTGCACTGTTGATGATCTGAAGAGAGAGAGAGAGAAAGAAAATATACTTTGTTATCATGAAGAATAGATAGATACATTATCATTGACAACCAACTGAAGATGAGTTAATTGCTGGGCAATTATGTTCAATTATTTAGTTTGAATTAGTCAGGTACCATTGATCAATAATATAACATCACATGTTTTACCGCTAGCCTCTTGCCGAAATCGCCCAGCAATGAACCTGCTTTTATGTAAAGTTTGAATTATGATACAATAAAAATATCAGGGATTCAGTCACACGGGCTTTATTGTACCGGGTCTTCAACAATAGTCATATTCTTTCATTCTGAACTAACTGACACGTCATTCACCTAGATAAATATATTTCCTGAAGTGGTATCTCACCTCAATTTTTACATATGAATTTGGCCTCTTGTTTTTAAGTTGTTCTTCAGTTGTCCTTGTTATCCAAGAGTTCTCACCATAAAGAATTGTTAATGGTATGTCGTTACTCAGTTTATCCAATCTATTAATCATAGGATTTTTTGCCCAGGCATAGCCTTGTCTCATACTATGAAATGCAGCTTCTCCTCTGAAATAATGCATCTATTCAGTAGAAGTCATAATATCACTGTATATATTAATTACGTTGGTTTCTGTGAGTTGCAATGGTAGATATACTCTGTGATCGTTTCTTTCTCATCTATTATTGAACCATACTTTTGTGAAAGATCATTTCTGACTTTGCTTATCAACCAAGGACCTACAAAAAATTGAAATATGCAGGGTAATGTGTGATTTTTTTCTGAAAAATAAAGGAGTGAAAGAGTTACAAGGTGTTGAAGAGCATTAGGGCAATGAAGTTTCCTATATCTTGGTATTTCACAAATTAATTACATTCGGACCATATTTATCTTCCTTGGCCATCTGAGATCAGAAATTTCTTTAATTACAAACACTTATACAGTGGCGTCGGAAAGAGATTCACATGATAAATTTTATTCACATTAGTTTCAGTTAGGGTCCCTTGATGGAAATTGACGTTAAAGTCATCTTAACAGGGTACGGATAGATCCTCGTCTCCTCTCACTCTGAAGTGTTTGTGAAACAGTTATATAGTTCCATCCTTATTCAATTCTGGGGATGAACACTAGATTTTTGACATTCGTTGTTTTTTAGGTTATATTGAGGTCAATGGCGTATCATATGTGATTTCCATATGGAATTCCTGATTCAACTATACCAAGATATTGATGAACAATCCTCTAGTTTTAGAGTTTACTACTCCAGCATAATCTTTGCGAGGTAGGGAACATATAAATTGTACTGAAAGCTTAATATATTTCTCCAAAAGAGATTGTTCTTAGACTGTATACCAGGGTTGACTGAATTGACTAAATGAATTCTGATTTCAAGCTGAGCAGAAGTTTATCTATGAGCTGAGCCTTATGATTAAGAAATGGTGGAAACCTCAATGTGGGTATCTGAACTACTGTACTTATGTCATGTGTGCTAAATATATTTTCGGAATTCCAATTCGGAGAAGAATTTATGGAGTGAATAATATCACACTATGTATAAAACTTCTGGGACGAAAAGTAGGCTGATAAAAAGTAATACGTAAAATGTGCAGGAAAATAAAGAATAGAATATACTTTACCCCCATGATTTTTCCGTCTCCGTTAAATAAAAAGTCATTTTCGAATAATTTATTGATGAAAGTAACAAAGAAATTGGTATACGCCTCGGTATATACGCAGTATAACTTACAGGAACGTTATTTTCACTCTTGCATCCTACATATTTTCTATTTGTGGTAGAGTAATAATTATATGAACTAATGTCTTTCGCCATATTGGATCCGTCATCTTGAATTTTCAAATTTTGACGAAACAATCATTATATCTCCTACCCCGAAAACCCCCAGATACCAATTTTGAATAGAATCGGATCTTCATTACAAAACTCGTCCACCATATTATTAGATCCGCCATCTTTAACAACCCAATTTTGACGAAATTTTTATAATCTCCGACCCCGGAAATCCCCAGATACCAATTTTGATTTTTGTATAGAACCGGATCATAATAATTACAAAATTCGTTCGCCATATTGGATCCTCTATCTTGAATTTTCCAATTTTGACGAAAACTCATGAACTTCGACCCCAAAAACCCTCAGATACCAAACTTAAATAGAATCAGATCATAATTAGAAATTTCTTTCACTATATATTGGATCCATCATCTTGAATTTTCCAAGTTTGACGAAACAATCATTATCTCCAACCCCGGAAAACCCCAGATACCTTCCAATTTTGAATAGAATCGGATCATAATTACAAAACTCGTTCGCCATATGATCTTTTTCAACAAGTAAATACCCTGTACATACCTATTATTAAAATTTTGAATGATTTTCTGTAGCGCCCATGGATGTCAGGGATGCCAGTGGACAAAACTAAAGTCTCTAGATCATTAAAAAAGAATGCAGCTATGATCTGTCCCTACTATTGATCTGTGCTAGTGATTGACCGATATGACTTTTTTAGCCGATACCGATAATCGGCCGATACCGATAATGTCTTGGCCGATAACGATATATCGGCATATCGGCCTCTTTTAATTGATAACATTCATTATTAATTATTATTGTAAAATCTCTAAAATCTGAATATTCTGTAATATAATTTATAATTCTCTAACGTTCAATTTAAAATCATAAAAATAAAAACAAAAATTGCACTTTGAATGAACCGTAAATTCGGCGAAAAGGAATCGGCTGAATCCAGGAACAACAGAGACACTTATTTTTTTACATGATAATTTGCCAAAACTACAGTATTCATATTAAATGCCTATTTCATGTTATATCTACCATAATTTCTTAAGATTGCCTTATTTCAAATATTACTCTATATTTAAATATAAAAAAAATGTTTCAAGCTGCTATGGTTGTCTTTATTTATACATCGGCCGATATAGCCAATATATACTCACATCTATCGGCCGATACCGATAATCGGCCCTCGGCCGATATAGCCGATATATCGGCATCGGTATCGGTCGATCACTAGTCCCTAGCCTGTCAAGATTACTTAACGTCAATTTCCATCAAGGGACCCTAGTTTCATTTAATTAAAACAAAAACAATGAAACTTTATTCCTTAAAGTTTGCTCAGTTGGTACTGAGTTTTTAAATTTCTCCAAACCTTCAAGAGATAAATCAAGGTGCACATATTTTTTTTTTGTTCATTCGCAGTAGAATGGCTACAAAAAATGTATGAACATAACATTTCAAAAACTACCTACTTTGTGGAAAATAATCATTATTAGTATCTTACATAATTATATAAAAGTGAAACCTGCAGATATTTAGGTCTTTTGAAAGAGACTAAATAAATAAATATTGAAGAAAAATTGTGCTCAGCACTCAGCATTTCCCTCAATCTAGAAAAATTATTGACTTTCAATGTCCTTAACTGCAATGTCAATTGTATATATACCAGGTGAGTGAAATTTTATTAGATGCATGGGGATGGAAATGGTGAGAGCTACAGAGAGAGTTAAATGGAGACAAATTTGCACAATTTTATGACCAACAAAATGCCATTTTGGAATTTGAAAATTTCTGAATACTTCCAAAGATTTTTGGAAAAAACTAATATTGGCAATTTCAGTTTCATTTTTTCGGACTTTATTTAAATTGATTTAACAAAACAAATCTCACATCCTCATTGATACTTAATCTGTTCTCTGCTGCCATCGTCAAATTTGTTTTTTGAATAGGGCCCTGAATTTTTTATTATGGATTTTAAGAGCTTTTGATGCATTCATCTGCACTCAATGGAAACGTTCATATTAATGGCATTTGCCATAAGAACCTATGTGTTAGAGACAGAGAATATATTTTTAATAGGGATAAAAACAAACACCTTTTTGGAATAATTGTGATACACCCTCAATTTTAGGAGATTGAAAGCTCTTGAAATCCATAAAAAACTATGTCAATATTTAAAAAAGAAAAAACAAAGTTGATGATGGCAGCTCAGAGAGGTAACAGTGGGTTGAAAATCTGATAACCCCATCTTGTAGAACAAAAAAAGTAGTAATGAGAATGTGTGATTTGTTGTTTTATGAATTTTTTTTTTTTCAAACATCTTCTGAAGTATTTGGAATTTTTGAAATTTCAAAATGGCATTTTGGTAGTCAACCCTCTCTGTAGCTCTCACCTTCTGGAAATCCCCATGCATCTACTGGAATTTCATTCACCTGGTATATATTTGTTTCAGGTATCTTGTATCTTTGCAATATCTACATACCTATAGGACCTGCTGCTCTGACAGTGGCCAAAGGATTCAAATATGTTAGTGGATAAAATAATATTGAAAGCATTTTCACCCAAATGGGCAAGTTCAACTTTTCAGGACGCTCAGCAAATCCCCAAGGATCAGCCAAAATTAAATGTTTCACTCTATCTGGATAATTTGATGCATAGCTGGTTGCAAGATAACCTCCAAAACTGTGACCTAATAATATGAAGTTGTCTAACTTCACTTCTTTTCTCCATTCTTCCAAAGACTCTACCATTTGTTGTTCTGCTTCAAGGCAGTCACTACTAAAATTGGGTCTGGTTGATCGCCCAAATCCTAGAATTTAGATAGACTAAATCATATTTTCTATTGACTAGTAATGATAGTATCACAACAATCAATCAGAATGAAAGTGTGATGTTTGTGCTCCATTTGTATGGAATCAAAATCTAATCCAATCAAAACTAGAGGTGGATTTAGCAAATGCACAAGCAGAATGTGTAACTTTAATGTGTAATGCAAGATGTTATGCACTGTGCACTAGGACTCATGAGTTGAATAAATCATCTCATATGGACTGTTTAACTTTTATGAATTATACATTAAAATTACAGTTATGAAATAAATTGTGTTTGTGGGCCTGCTAAATCCACCTTAATCTTACAAAACTCTATTTCCTGAAAACATTTACCCAATAAGTCTATTGCATAAACTGGCCTCTCTTTTGCTACTGTGTCAAAGTTTAAACACCAAAAGCATAATCCTGCTGCAAAACCATGAAGTAAAACGAGTGGAGTATTTTTTGATTCTTCATTCAGTAGTATGGTCCAGATTTTATCATTTTTACCAACAGTGGAACCAATTGGTACAAACCAAGTTCTATAGGTAGTTTTGAGTACTGAAAATGGTTGAAGATCAATATTACATAATTCTATCCTCAAAAAAATTAAACCAGATCAGATTTTAGTTACTAAATGCAACTCACCATTCAATATCTTCTTCTCAACCTCAATTAATTTGCTTTCAGAAAATTTGGACCAGCCACATTTTTCAGGAGTAGCCTCACTTCTAGCAGTATCAGAGTCATTACTAGACATTTTGAAATTTGAGATCCAATATTCTACCTTGATTCTATATTATAATTTTGAAAGAAGTGTTATAATGATTTAGGTAGGTATTTCTGGTAGGTAGAGATGTATTGAGAATTTTGATCACAAAAATATTATTATTATGGAATGCTATGGATGAGACACTGAAAGTAAAAATATCATAATGGAAATATTCAATGTTCACAGATTCAATTTATTCTTGATTTATCTTATTATCTGATAATGACTGATGATAATGATGAATAATTATTGATGATTTCATGATTATTTCATTGTGATTTGTGATGACTGATGACACATGACAGTTATGACGACGTCAGACCGTTTCTAAGCAGTGGCGGGTCCAGAGGACTTAAATAGTGGGGAGTGGGGCGCACATAAGATTTTTGAGTAGGTACTACCTGAGCTTTCAGGAAAATAAAGCACATCTTAGCAAACACAGTTACATCACAGAGATAACTCAGCGATGTAACGATTGTAACCTCCCAGCAAACACAAACACAGTTATATCACGCAGAGATATCGCATAGCGATATGTAACAATTTTGACTCGTGCATGATATCGCATTCTATGTCGTATAAACGTCGCTGCGATGTCGGAGCGATGTTATTTTGTCCCTTTCATCCATGTGAAGTCGCTGCGATAAGTTATAGAGCAGCGATATATTTTATGCAATGTTTATGGCGACATGTTATTCGTGATGGAAAAGCGATGTGTTTTGAAATGGAAAAAAGATTCCCCGAACATGGTGTGATATAATAGGTACACCACCACCTGACTTCTGATATCTAATATATTGATATTGATTATGTGAGTTGTAGTGACTATGGTTGGTGGTTTCTCCAGGTCCCCTGTCCATTCAATAGTATTTTCAGCGGCACTATCTTGGGTACCTACGAATCTCTGTTACTCGTATTTGTATAAAAAATGTCAGTGTCGGCGAGATGTAAGCAAACCAAGAATAGTTTGATAGCAAGTATTGTATATTCATGTATTATTTCTCACCGATCAAAAATCTGAATAACAAATTTTCAAAAAATGCTCACATATGAGTTTAAAAAGTACTGGTTATTGTTTGATGCCTATGCGGCTTACGGTAATCTCATAATGTTCTCATACTCCTATTTATTTCGTCTAAATTGGAAGAGGGCGTAAATTTTTACGAACGAAACGGTGAATACCGAAATACCGAGTGCTCAGTACGAATGTATTAAAATAATTTTTACAAAAAACAACACGTCTAAAAATGCATTGCTCGATATGACCTCCAATTTTTTAAATACATATGCGAGCCCTTTTAATTATAGAAAATCTTAGCCTTTGAAAAATATGTGGCTTATACACAAAATCTTTCATACATCCCCAGACACTCCTGATCTGCTATTTCTTTCATCAAGTAGCTATTAAAATCATGAATATCATAGTTTCACCAAAAATTCCCGAAAATATTTTTTTTTTAATTTTTTTCGATTTCATTTCCCGTTCCGCGCCCGACATACCGATATGTTTTAAAAAATTCCGCACCCCCCAAAACCGCTCAAACCGATTTAAAAAAAATCAAAAAATTTGCTATTCTCGAAAAAAAATCAATTTAATAATTCTTTAAAAGGGTGGGTTCGGGGCTCGTCAATCGACCTTCCCCCCCATCCTCCCAAAATCATTATTTACCCGGAATTCCAAAAAACTTTATTTTTATTTGACCGCGTAAAAAAAATTTCACGCCGTTCGATTGGCAAACAAATTTTATTCGACATGTGTCCTCACTTTTTTTTTTCAAAAATTATTTTTTCTGTGACGGGAAAAAAGTTTGGCATTTCATCTCTGTTGGCAGGTTATAAAATGTCACTTTTCATAAATTACTTTTTTCCCGTGGGAAAAAAGTGAGTACTTCTTTCCCGGATATATATCACATATTATATATACTCTGGTAATGGCTTTTGTTGTGCTATAGTTCCGAAAAATAAGTCAATAATACCGTCTCCGAGAAAGAACTGCATGTCCTTTAATCTTCCATTCGACTTCGCGGTTTCGTATATTACTAAACAACAACTGAATTCGCAGTTTTTTAAGATCAAATCACAGAATTGAACTGACAGAAGTGACATCAGATATTTGATTACTTCAAAAGAATGATGAAGATGTCTATAAAACGCAGGTGTCCCTACTGTTAAAAACTTGAAATTTCACGTCGATAATTTTCAGATTTCGAAATAATGTAATATCTTCCCAATATTGATTCGTCCTTCCTTCTGTCACAGAAAAAAATAGTGTATTATACACGGGAAAAATATTAGATTTTAGCTCACGGTTTTTTGTCTCCCTCCGCTACGCGTCGGGAGACAACACAACCTGGAGCTAAAATCTACTACTTTTTTCCCTTGTATAATAAATAACTATTCAATACATTCGCTCTGAGCACCCGCTATTTCCATATTCACCTTTTAGTACGTAAAAAGTTACGCCCTCTTCAAATTTCGACGAAATAAATAGGAGTATGTGAACATTATGAGATTACCATAGGTCGCATAGGCATCAAACAATAACCAGTACTTTTCGAATTATCTTAAAAACAAATAATTTTCTCGAAATTTTACAAGACACGAAAAATAGCAAAAATGATTGAACACTTGAAGAAAAATAGATAGAAAGTCATTAGCGCACGTACAAAAAAAAATGGGGATGAATAGAATAGAATAGAATAGTAGTTTATTTGTTCCATATAATACCCTTTCGGGTGTAGAACACGTCAAAAAAAATTTGCTTACTTACAATTATTCAAAACATATTGATAAAAAATATATACACATATTATTATTTTATACATATCTGCAGTTTTTTACAAATGGTTACATATTATATTCTGTGCAAGACAATGATTCACATATCGGTAGTTGAGCATGGAATGTTGTTTGTTTGATATCTTTGTGCATTACAATATTTCATATAGGCTATCATTCATGAAATCAATCAGTTCATAGTATGCTTTATCGAGAAGGAAGATTTTAATTTTATTTTTTAATTGTTGGTACTCTAAATTTCTCAAGTTTGCAGGCAGTTTGTTCCATATTTTTTTAATTGAGTAGTCAACATTTTTTTGTATATATGTATATTGGGTGAGGTCTGTTCCTAGGTTACTCTTATTTCTGGTAGAGTATTGGTGTTCTGTCAGACAGTCTTCAAATAAATCAAAATTCTTTTTTACAAAGAGTACAGATTCTAGAATATACAAACTTACCACTGTTAAAATTTTTTGCTGAATAAATATGTTTTTACAACTTTCACGGCGTTTTATTTGAAATATGTTTCTTATGCATCGTTTCTGCAATATGAATATCCTTTGTGCATGTATTGAGTTTCCCCAGAATATTATCCCATAGCTAATTTTTGATTGTACATATGCATAGTATGTTGTTAGTGATACCTCCGGACTCAATGATTGTGATACTGTTCTTAGTGCATAGCTAAACTTTGCCAAACATTGTGATAGCTTTTCTATATGGTTTTCCCAATCTAACCTATGATCAACTACAATCCCTAAAAATGATACAAATGGTTCTGCCACAATATCAATCTTATTGTAACATATTGACTTATGTTCAAATTGCTTTCCAAAATTGATAACTTGTGTTTTTCCTAAATTTAGAAGAAGATTATTGTCTTGGAACCATTCATCAAGTTTAGTTATTGTGCTTTCCATTTTGAGTTTACATAATTCATTCGTTTTTTCGCTAAATACTATGGCAGTGTCATCTGCATACATTATCATGGTCATGGTTTGGTCCATTATTTTTGGCAGATCGTTAGTGTAAAGAATATATAGTAACGGCCCCAGTATTGACCCTTGTGGAACTCCCTTTTTAATTAATAATTTATCTGATTTGAATACTTTACCATTCTCTCCATATTCTTTTACACATTGTTCCCTGTTTTGTAAGTATGACTTAATTAGGTTTTGCACTGTTCCTCTTATGCCTTGCAGTTCTAGTTTCTTGCACAGGATTGTGTGATCAACACTGTCAAATGCTTTTGAAAGGTCCAAGAACAGAGCTGATGGTTTTTGTTTGTTGTTGAGTTCGTTGATGTGTTCTTGACCCCCAGTATTTTGAATATTTGACAGTTATTTTCTGTTTTTTTTTTCTTCACACGATGTAACTCTTTGTGCTGAAGTTATGTACCAATTTTGAGATTGATATCTCATTGAATACGCGAGTAATTAGAAAAAAACAGTTTTTAATTTTCAACTTTGACACCCTGTATATCGAATGTGAAGGGCTAAAATGAGAAATGGTATTTAGAAACTCATATTGTTTTTGTTCAAGGAATAGATGGTCAATGGATTGACCTCCTTTTAGCGGACACCCTGATGTATATTGGTTTAGGCCCTGTAAACTTTTGGAAAGCAAATAAAACAACTGACTTGGTTGCTTTTCTAGAATTTATTTTCACAGGCATCCAAACAATTTGCAATAGCGTAACGTCAACACATCAGTCTTACATTTACATATATATTTATATTCAAGCAATTAATAGCAATAATATTCTATAGCCTACATAATGGTATGTTTATTCACATCCTTATCAACAAAGTTGTATCAGTAGCTAATATAATGTCAAGGTTCACAAGAATACTTATTGAATATATTTCAGGAAAATGATCTCGAAAACATTCAATTATGAATATTTGTATTTACAGACATAACTGAAATAACATATTTCATGTATATAGCCAATGTGAAAAGATGTTCAATTCGTTTGATGATTTTGATATGCTTTTTACTTCATATAGGTACAGCATTATAGCAAAAATATGGAGGCAAGATCTTTTTCTAGTATTATTTGTCCTTCTTGAACTATCAAGTAAAAAACTAAGCTTGGCAATATATTTTGTATAAAAATCGTTATTTTGGTCTGACACACATAGATATGCGATTTTCAAATACAAAGCTCAATATGTATTTACTGCAATATTACAACTAGAACAATAAAATCAATGTTGGAAAATATGAATTTCTAAATGAGCACCATCAATATAAAAATACGTAAATCAAATAAAAATAGAATCGTAAATTAATTAAAATATAGAAACATTAAAAGTAGGTATATGACAAAATACAAAATATATAAGAAGATATCATGATAAAAATAATTATTAAAATTCATTGGTTTCATTACAGACCTATTCTTAGTTCATATTCCTAATTAAAAAATAACACAGCTCACATTAATAAATGAATCACCATGAGATCTGTCTGTAGTTGAATTCAGTTCAGTAAATTAATATATTGCAAATAAAATGATAAACTTAAGCAAATGTATATTCATAATGTTGAAGAAAGGTCTTGACCAGCAGTTCAACTAGAATTATCCTTTTTGGAGTCTGTAAAAGAAGGTATCGTTATGATTATTACTATTCTGATTGTATCGGAAGTTATTTTCTACTTCTTTTTAGTTTGACTATCTATAAAAGGGCGTTTCTTCAGTTTTTCAAACTACCATTTATTTCCTATTGTTTAGTTCAGCTAACTACACAAGCGTGTTTTTTAGTTTATTTATGTACTTAAATTCTATAAGTACCCATGTAAATGTATTTTTCTACTCACATAACTAAAATGGCATTTAGCATACGGATATGTACCACGCTGAATGATCGATTAATCACGGATTGACGATCTGTGATTTATTCATATACGTATTAATAATCAATACGGATAATCTCTATCTGTTTCCATAGCGAAACATGAAGCCGATTTTTGAAGACAAATGACTATCCATAAGGAAAAGTTTTGAAACGATCAGACACATACTGCTTTGATTGAAAGGCTAGTAATCGTCATTGTAAACCGAAACGCATGTCTTTGATGACTACTATAATAGCGCATGGCGCATGCATATCATGCCACCAAATCCTTATGGATATTCATTTGTTTCATATTTTTGGCTTCATCCTGGCACCCGTTATGATCCGTATTGTTTATTAATACGTATATGGATTTTTCTACTCACATAACTAAAATGGCATTTAGCGTACGGATATGTACCACGCTAAACGATCGATTAATCACGGATTAACGATCTGTGATTTATTCAAAATATTGAACACGTTACCATGGCAACACGATTTCTTAAACACATTACCATGGCAACGCAGTTCATTAAACACAACTTCAGTAATTTCAGACATGTCTGGCCTGTCAATTGTATTAACTGTCAACTGTTATTTTCGAATTTTGTATCAGAATAATTAGAACAATATTCGTTTGTATCAGAATTCTTCATTAAAAATATATGCGAAAAGTAGACGAAAGAAAAATCGATCCGCTCCGCTCTGCTCCGCTCGTGCTTAAACTACTCGTTACTAAAAGGACGTTTATAACACTTGTTACATAATATACTATTATTCAAAATATTAAACACGTTACCATGGCAACACGATTTCTTAAATACATTTCCATGGAAACACAGTTCATTAAACACAGCTTCAGCTATTCGAGACATGTCTGGCATGTCAATTGTATTAACTGTCAACTGTTATATTCAAATTTTGTATCAGAATTATTCAAACAATATTTGTTTGTATCAGAATTCTTCTTTAAAAATATATGCTAAATGTAGACAAAAGTGAAATTGAAGATAATGTTTTGGTACTAGCATATCTTCAAAAAGGGTAAAAATGAAGCATCCATCTTTGAGAACTATTTATTCATTATGCGCTAAGCATGACAATAAACGTGAAACAAAGGTTAGTAAGCAATGGACTGGACACATCTACAACCAATATCACTTATACGTGTCTCGCTGGTTGCATGCAGTTGCATGTATTATGTTCTCAATTCCCATTCCTTTCGAATTATTTTGTAGGTTAGCAGGAATAGCAGGTATTTTAATGTAATTTTCGCAGTTCTTAGAAAAAGCATAGTATGTAACGCGTTTATAAACTCTTCTAGACACTCGTTTATTAAACACTCGCTCCGCTCGTGCTTAAAATACTCGTTACTAAAAGGACGTTTATAACACTTGTTACCTAATATACTATTTGTGAGTATTTTTGAATTGAGAATTAGGAATATGATTATGTTTGTATGAGAGTGTTTGTTTTGTTTCTTTCTATTTTGTTGGAAGAAGGTTACTTTTCTGTTTACTATAGGTACATACTATTTTGATGTCATAGGTTCATTTCATTATCCTTTCTTGGAATTCGTATAGCATAAAATAGATCTTAAACGACATCGGATATAGTGAATATACGTGTTTGAGGTCGACGCAAAAATATATATGCACCTCGGCGAAAAACTGTCTATTGTCTTGCCTGATTGCTAGCCTCGGTTAAGGCCTCGGCTATCAATTTGCAGACTGGACTATAATAGACAGTGTTTCGTCCTTGTTACATAAATACCTATTTTATATATTACCAGATTCTCCAGGCGAATCACCATTCGTTAGATTCTCTTCTTTCTTTTCCTCCTTTTTTTCATCGTCTTTTTTCTCCTCCGGTTCTTTCTTTTCCTCCGAAGATTGCTTCTTCTTATCTTCTTTGTTTTTCCCCTTAGCTGGAGTGGCTGGTTTTGGTTTGGGCTCCATGCTTGGATCCAAAATTATCTTTCCCACGTTCTTGCGGTCATGCATCTTTTGCATCGCTTCCACAACCTACAGTAAAATGTAACTCATCAGCATTGGTATACGCCAAAAAATACCAGAACCAGGGTACACGGGACATTTGATCAGAGTAGGCTTTCAGCTTAGAAGAACGTACGTTTCCTAGGTGGGTAATTATTTATACTTTCATTGAAAACCATATTGAAAGTAAAAATCTACCCTATCAATAATTCAACAACTTTATTTTGTTTTGGTTTCACGGGAAGCTGCTTACGCGATGTATCAGAAATGATTTTCCTATGTATTTCCATCTGTAATAATCTTTTCAACAGATGGAAATAAACATAGATATGATCGACATTGATGACTGTCTTTGATGCGATATTCATTTCAAAGACGATGATGCGGTATTTATTTTTCACCAGTAGTAAAACACATATTCATATCCACAAAGTATATTTCCCTAGATTACGGGTTAGAGAAACATGTTTCGTGCATATTTAACACTCTGGCTGCTGGGACCCTGTTTTTCTCTCTCTATTACAGGCTTTGTCAGTCAAATGTGACCGACGGTGACTTATAAAATAGATCTGAATTCGCGGCGCTCAAATGAACGTATTCAAATTTTTTTGTGGCGCTCACTATGAAATTTATAGCTACAATAATGGCTCAAAAACGTTTATTGTATAAAATGTGAAAAATCTCAATATCTGAATCTAATTATTGTTAGAATGGTTTTCACATGACATTCAATGCACATACAAGGCATCTACTGGCAGCCTTCCCAATGCGCCCGCTCTCTCTTCACCTCATTTTAGCCCCCTTTCTTGTACATATTATTTCACAAGATTTTTGTCACAAATTAAACAATTTTTCTAGCATTCAGTGTTTTATCCTTTTGCTGTTATAGCAAATGTTACAACTCCTGTGAGTTTATCGATAAATTAATGACTTATAGGAGTATATCATGCACTTTTACTTATATACATTGAAAAAAATTGCCTTGTCAGGCCGCGTCGGTCGATTTTAGCTGACATCCTTTTATGCTCTTCTGTACACCAGAACGACTTTACAATGTCTGAGCAGCAATATGCTGATCACTTAGATGCCCCCTACTCTGAAAACTTCGCGTGGCCTGACGCGTTCGAACCAATGAAAATGCATCGGCTCAGCACGAGATCAAGCTGTCGGTCAAAAATGACTGACATGGCAGTCAGAGTGATATGATCATCATCAGTCTCATGAAAACAAGAAAAAATATCACCACACAAAATGCTGACGGCATGATTGCAAAAACAGGTGATGTAAAATTCCAAGAATTCAATTATAAATATGTTGATTTTCCTTCTTGTTTTCATGAGACTGATGATGGGCATATACAGCGTGTCTCATTTCAATCGCCCGCCCGCCATCTATATCTCAATATGGTCAGTTTTTCAGAGATGAACATCATTTTAGACAGTGCCGTGCGTTCTTCACAGGAAAACTGACCTAATAATATTGATATCTTCGTGGTTCCAAACCGCCGTATGTAGATTTTTATATGATTCCTATAAAGAATATAAAGGGTTTAAAAACAGGTATATCTAAACAGCATTCTTGCTAATATAATAATTATTTACTCATAAACAGTGAGTTCAACATAAAATAGTGTATCTTGTTCTTTCAAATCATGTTTTTTCTGCTGGAGCCATTGAACGTTCCAAAATTTTGTAGTCAATTTGAATTCACTTTTTTTTCGAGACCAAAAATGAACAAAATAAAGCCAATCTTGTTAATTTGGAATGAGGAGATTATTTGCATATGGTGTTCGAAAGCACGAGGAACAATAATGTGGAGTTAGTTTTCTTGCAAAAAAAAATCCAAATATGATTTCATAAAAATCGGCCCCTTTCGATGAAATGCACGCCACTGGCCAAAAGGATGTTCGTCTCTCAAAAACTGGTCATATTGATGATTATTCATACCGGTCATACCGACTGATAGCTGAGATATAGACAGGGTGGGGGCGTCCAAAGTGAGCCCAAACATGTTTCTCTTAGCCCATAATTTAGGAAAATATATTTTGTGGAGATGACTATGTGTTTTACTACTGGTAACTACTAACTCCACTTCGAGGATGAACTTCTACCGTCACTATTTATTACTTGTCAAGCTTGTCTTGTTGAAGAATATAAATATCTTGTATGCTTGAAAAAACTAGTATCGTCCATATAAATCAACAACTCAGTTTTTTTCCATAGCTATAAAATTTGATGAACTCATTAACATGATTAGGCATGTCGAATTTAACGGCACTATATTAAATATTTTCAAGGCTAAAATCAAAGATATAGTTTTCAATAAAGTAGTACAGCAAAGCTTCGGAATTCTTTGCCAATTATTGGAGTATTCCCAAGAACTTATAACCTCCAAAATTTAAAAAAAAATCCCAACATATTCCTCCTCTGTACCGCTTAATATGATACATTTTTTTCACCAACTTCTCTCGCCAGACGTTTACAAAATAGAGAAGAATATAGAGGCTATTGAAAATGTCAATTATCTATAACTGACATTTTTTCCCAGTCTAGAATGGGTTGCGTGCAAGATCTGTCAGATGACTGACCCTGGAGGTAAACATTGAAACACAACCTCACTTTTCTAACTTGTTTACTAAGGATTGGAATATTATTTCACAATTATTTGGCATACGAATCCTGTTTTTTGGCTATTCATTAATTCAAGCAAGCCATCACGTGTTGTGCTGTTATATAATGCACAAAAATGCAGCGAGAGACGAAGGAATCTGATTTTTCAGGTAAGTACCTACATTGTGATCTAAAAGTACTTTATCTACTCCTATTAAATTATTTATCAATGATTCAACTGCCTTTGTACAATTAATAGTATCTATAAACAAACAGCGTGAGTTATAATAACTCTCGCTACTATAACTCACTATAATACTTTCATCGAGAAAGGCTCTTGGAATTATTTACGAACCGAAAATCAAGATGGCTCAGTACTTCTGTACAAGCCAGTTGGCCGAAAGGGAACAGTCCATTATTGTTATTGAGGGGAGTGATGTCAACTGAATAATTTTGACGTTTTCAAACTGAGCTGATACAATTATTGTGATTTTTTTGATGAATTCAGATAGTGAAGATGGATTATCATTTGAATTTCCATATGGAAAATATCACTCACAAAGAATGGCATTGATAAATTTTGAGCAATGGGGAAAGACATTGCCACATTTCTGAAATTACCAGACTGTAATTTATATACAGGGCATTGTTTTCGCCGCTCGTCGGCAACTTTATTAATAGATGCCGTACGGCACTGAAACGCCATGGCGGTTGGCGATCAACTACTGTGGCTGAGGGGTACGTTGATGATTCCGAAAAGAATAAGACAGATACTGCAAATAAAATATACAGTTCTATTACAGCTCAATCAGTTAGTACACCAACAACATATATGCAACAAACACAAAAAGAAACAATAAACTTCCATAATTCAGTTCCAACATATTCAGTTTACTGTTAACTTCACAGTTAATTTTTTCAATAAACAATATGCGAGTGATTGAATCTAAAATTTGTATTAAGTATATCAAGATTTGTCAATAAAGTTCTTTCTCTGTACTTGTATAACTTAGGATTTATTGTAATAGTCGTAGATAAAGTATAGTATTCAACTTGCGGTAATGGTCATAACTCACTTGATGGATTACAGCACTCGCCTGTGGCTCGTGCTGCAAACTTCATCTGCGTGAGTTATGACCTACATTACCGCTCGTTTAATAATATACTATTACTATAGTCACATATATGAGTTTTCATTTTGAAATTTTGTCATTTCTCATTGAAATTCCTTCTGCAATAGGAGCGAATAGAAATACTCGTGAAGTTTCTAAAAGAAGGCAAGAAGATTAGATTCATGCAATCAAACGGTAATACTGGTCTGACATGCAGACGAAATATGATCGCTTGAGTTCTAGACATGTTCACTCTATTAGTAATATTAGCTCTTCTATTGCAGAAGTAGCAGAAGAATTCTAATAATAAGAATTGACAAAACTTCATAATGAAAACTATGTGAGATCACTATATATTTACCTGGAAAATCATATTCCTTCGCCTTTCACTGCATTTTTTGAGCATTGTGCAACATCACAATGTGATGACATGCTTGAATTAATGAACAGCCCAAAAAACACGATTCGTGTGCCAAAATATTGTGAAAAACTATTTAAATCCTTCGATTCCTTTGTGAACAAATGAGAAAAGTATGGTTGTGTTTCAATGTCTTACAAAAAAGTGAGGTTGTGTTTCAATGTTTTACCTTCAGAGTCGGTCATCGTGCACGCGACCTATATTAAATGAATGTCGAGAATATTTAAGCACTGAGAAGATTGATTACCTACTATACATTCTCACATCTTATGTATTGAATGTAAATGGTATACATTTGTTGAACTCAATACTAAAATATTGTTTACTCTCTCCTACAAAAAACAAACAATTCTGCTATATAATATGGCCTGACCACAACATAAAGAAACTTCACCTTTTTTTTTTTTTTCATGAAAGTATTTCATAATAGCCTTGGTGCAAAATGAATTGTTGATCACTGTGACAAAGCCCGTTTGACTTGAAAAATACGCTTACATCTTCAAGAGCCCAAGTTGAGTCCAGCAGTGGCTTGATTTTTCCTTCTTGGAACAGTTTGAATACTGACTGGACAGTTTGTTTGACATATCCCTCCCCATGCTGCTGGTACATCAGATGTCTCAGGTTGAAGCCACATAGAGTACGATTTTCATCGAAAAGCTTCAGAGGAGAAACCTTGTCGACCTGCCACCACTGCAAATAATAAAATCTTTTAACCTCAAGTAAAAACAGTCTCAACCTGGATATAGAAACCATATCAATGGGGTTGTACACACTAGTCGAATTTACGCCACATACCTATTTTATATCGATCATTCCGTGTATAAATAGTAACTTATTCGATGCAATCATTCGTTATTAAAATCATCGCAAATATATTTTTTTTCATAATTGAATTCGGTGACTTCGATCGAGATTTTATTTAATCCCGAATTTATTTTGTGGCACGCGCAACAGTGTAATGCCTAAGTTCCCAGAAATACACAAAAAGAAGAAGAAAAACTACATTGTCAACCCAATTTCCTGACGTTAGTATCGGCTGTCACCTTATTCGTCAAATCCCTGTTTCATCTAGTCAAGATGCGAATGTTCAACGATAATCCTCATGTTATCGGATTCTCTACTTGTGAGACTTGTTCTCTGTTATCTGCAGTGAGTATTCAATCCAGTCATGTCAGTAGATAGTAATTCAAACGTTGGGATACGGACATGCTAATCCTTTTGACCGATGATGAATAGTTTCGACACAAAAAAATCTTAAAATTGAGAAATCTCGATTTTGAACACTATATATCTGTAATCATTTCCGCTACAACCTAAAGGGCGCCGTACATTATGCTATTTCTCGGCAAGTTTGAGGCAATGCAATTTTCTCGCAATTTTCTCAATTTATTGCAAGTCGCCGTACATTGAGATATTTCTGTCATATTTTCTTGTTCATATTTACCATTTTCAGGTTTTTTGAGCCTTCAATGTACTTTTTGAGGTTATTTGGTGTTTCAGGCCACGTTATGGAGAAAATTTGTATTTTATCAAGATGCTACGATGACTATTACTAAAAATTTTACTGAACTTGTCTTGAAATTGCAGGAAAAATAGGACTGGTTCTATTACGAAACTTGCATGAAACTTGCCGTGAAATATCATAGACGCATGCGCATTATTCGATTCAAAATTACATTGCATCGAACTTGCTGGTAAATGGTCATTATACTATGTCTCATAAAACACTCCAATTTGTGGTACACCCGATGAGTGTTCAACCCCCGACCACAGATTCAATATTCTCAGCATGGATAAGAGTATGAATGTTTTTATGTTATGCAAAACTATTGATACGACTAAGTGTGATTATAGATCGTTCAAATTTAGAGACTTTTTGCAATGCCTACTTTACCGCAGCTAATGAATGGATAGTTAAGAATGCAATAGGCGGTCTAAAATATCTAGAATAATTGACAAACAAATTTATTGGTACTTTACCGTTTTGAAGAACGGTACTTTTTGTATTCAAATTGGGTTTTGAATTTAGAGTTCCATAGAAGTCGAGCTGAGTATTTCGAGAAATGAATTTGACATGCAAAATTGGATGTGCACTCGCCAATAGTAGATAATTTCATTAATTATTTCGTTCTCCACAGATATCATAACATATTTACAATATTCAGCTATACAAGGCGTTGTTCTTAAAATAAAAGAAATCGTCTGTACGGCCCTGGGTTCTAATTTTTATTTCTATTCAGTTTTGATGGGGGGTGATTTCGTACCACCAAAGTGTCCTCTATCTACAATTATCGCATGTACATTTAAATATAAAACAATCTGTATATATTCTCCGGTCTAGATATGTCTACACGGTTACTTTAGAACCAATAGAACAGAATGAACAGGGGTAAAAACGGATATGCACAAGCAAATTAATATATTTCCTCTATAGCGGCTAGTCAATAATTCCTGCCTTTCTGTGAAATAAATAACTGGACCGTAATACCTATACCTTTATACACTGTTCCCTAACAAAACATCAACATGGAGAGATAGAACAGATTACATCTTTTTGCTCGCTAACGGATACGGATCAGAGAGCGGAAGGTAACTGAAGTAAAAACCACAAAAACCATGACGCAAGCGCAATCTTTCAACTTTCAGAGTACAAACGCTTCAATTTACAATTTAACCGTAGGATTTTGAGTTGCAACAAAACATTTTGGTAAAAAAATAGGTGTAGCTAGATAAATAGTTCTATCTACTACCAATATGTAATGTGAAACATTGACACTGATTTTAGTTAAAAAACATGAGAACTGATTGATCATAAATATAGCAGGTACTGACGTTTGAATTGTTTCATTTGCCGCAATTTCTATATCCAAATCTATACTTTCGTGATCCGAATTCATGTCGATGCATTTTTTCTCGAATAATTGAAATGAACGCAACAAGTTTGATAGTTCGCAGAATGAGTGACAACCGAGAATAGATTCACGATGAAGTAGATATACCGTGCTTCCACGTCTAGACCCTACATAGAACATAACCCCTACATCGTGGACATCGTTGTATTGTGAATGTGATATTGCAAATTATATCCATCTGATTTTAATTTTTAGTATGGATTCGAATACTTAAAGAGTTCACCAATCGATAAGTGTGATAGTGCAAAAAGCCTAAATTTTTTGTTTTCATTTGAACCAAGGACTACGACAATAAGAAGAAGGAAGAACTCAACTTAAAGACCATAAAAAACAAAAACATAACCTTTTAGGAAATAGAGAACCCATTGTTGGTCTGCTGTTAAAAAATCTGATCTTGGTGATTATAATTAAATGAAAACTGAATTGTGAGGTCTAAATTCTTTGCTGAAAAGCGGGAATTTTTGAGTACTCTATATAGAAGATGTTAGGTACACTCATAGATCTAATGTACACTCAAAAAGAGAGTTTCCTGCCCAAACTCTGAGTTGCGATAAGTATTTTGTTCGAGCGAAGCAAGAGCCTAAATAGATGATCTAATTATATTAAACAGCTAGATAGTGCCTAGAGAGAGGAATTGACAACATGAGGGAGATGCAAGGCGCAACGAATTCAGCTGATGGTTGGGTACAAATGTTGCCATCAACATGTGTATTGTATCGTCAATGTGATATTGCAAGTTGCACTCCTCGCCGCACAGGGAGTCGGGCACCACGTCGATGCCCTCGGGCGACATTTTGCGTACCCCGCCACACCTAACCTATAGTAACCTAACGTGACGAACTGGACTTTCATTATCTGGTGTTTTTCTGATGATCTGAAATGAAGTAGAAACCACCACAAACCAAGATTTCGTCTGCGGCGCATTCGAGTTAGCGACACTGCCCACTTACCGATCGAGCGGCGCTGAAGAAGCTCTTCCTTTCCCCGCTGACCACGTTCGATGACCCGTACAGCACGAATTTGCTCATCGACACACCTAACCTAAGCTAACCCAACCTAATCTGACCTGCTGGACTTCCATTATCTGGTGTTTCTTTAGTAATCTAAAATGAAGTTGAAACTACCAGAGAATCACTAGATTTAAAAAACATTTCGTCTGCGACGCATTTTTTCCATTTCTCAGATTCGGTGGTTATTTGGTATTTTATTTGTGGCCGTGTCGCGACTTACAATTTCGAGTTGGTGACATTGCCCACTTACTGATCGAGCGGCGCTGAAGAAGCTCTTATTCGTTTCCCCGGTGACCACGTTCGATGACCCGAACAGCACTGCCCATCGGCACACTTAACCTAAGCTAACCTAACCTAATCTGACCATCTGGAATTCCATTATCTGTTGTTTTTTAGTAATCTAATATGGAGTTAAAACCACTTGATTTACAAAAAATTTCGACTGCGGCGTATTGTTTTTCTATTTCATCAGGTTCGGTGGTTCTTTGGTATCCTTTATAAAGCCATTTCGCGACTTTGAACATTTAGAGTTGGCAACAGTGCCCACTTACCGATCGAGCAGCGCTGAAGAAGCTTTTTCTTTCCCCGGTGACCACGTTCGATGACCCTTACAGCAGTGCCCATCGGCACACTTAGCCTAAGCTAACCTAACCTAATCTGACCAGCTGGACTTCCATTATCTGGTGTTTTTTAGTAATCTAAAATGAAGTTAAAACCACTAGTTTTACAAAAAATTTCGACGGTGGCGCATCGTTTTTCTATTCCATCAGATTCGGTGGTTCTTTACTATCCTTTATGTAGCCATTTCGCGACTTTTCAATTTTCGAGTCGCCAACAGTGCCCACTTACCGGTCGAGCGGAGCTGAAGAAGCTTTTCCTTTCCCCGGTGACCATGTTCGATAACCCGTACATCACTGCCCATCGGCACACTCAACCTAAGCTAACCTAACCTTATCTGACCAGCTGGACTTCCATTATCTGGTGTTTTGTAGTAATCTTAAATTGGAGTTGAAACCACTATATCTACAAAAAATTTCGACTGCGGCGCATTGTTTTTCCATTCCATCAGATTCGGTGGTTCTTGCCACAGTGCCCGCACTTACCGATCGAGCGGCACTCAAGATGCTCTTCGTCTCCCCAGTCACCACGTTCGACGACCCGTACAGCACGAACTTGCCCATCGACATACCTACCTAAGCTAAAATGAAGTTAAAACCACTAGATTTACAAAAAAATTCGACTGCGGCGCATTGTTTTCCTATTTCATCGGATTCGGTGGTTCTTTGGTGTCCTTTGAGTAGCCATTTCGCGACTTTAGAAATTTCGAGTTGGCGACAGTGCCCACTTACCGATCGAGCGGCGCTGAAGAAGCTCTTCGTCTCCCCGGTCACCACGTTCGACGACCCGTACAGCACGTACTTGCCCATCGGCTTCAGCAGGTTGTAGCCCTTGTTGCACTCCTCGCCGCACAGGCAGTCGAGCACCACGTCGACACCCTCGGGCGATAATTTGCGCACCTCGCCAACGTAGTCGCCGCCGCGCTCGAGCAGGTGGTCGACGGGCGAGCCGGCCGCCCTGAGGGCGTCGTGCTTGCCCTTCGAGCATACGCCGAAGATGGTGACGTCTGGGACGGTCTTGGCGAGCTGGACGATCGCTTGGCCCTGGAAAAGGGGAGGGGGTGGATTAACGACGGGGATCATCATAATTCACAGGTTGTATTAAGATGCTAACATAGTTAGCGAAACACGTGTCGAGGCGTTAAAAAATCGGTTTGGTTAGTGGTAAAACAGTGTAGTGTATTATCGTGCCAAAGGTTCCAGTCTTCGATATACCCCCAATTCATATTTCTATAATCTATAATCTGAGATATTAATTATGCGATTGTTTTAAAATTGTGATGGTGATTGTATGATATTTTCAAAACATAGTGGGGTCATGTTTTTATATAAATTGCTTAATAACAAACTTGATTGTCCCCATTTACTGTCTCCCATTGATATACATGATCCTCGATTCCCAGTGTGAGATAAATATTTCTTTTACTTGCGCACACCTCAATCTAATCTACTGCAGTTTTCACGAATTTATAGAATATGTTCAGATTATTGTCTTCTCAAGATTCATCCGATATCCTCTGTTCTAATATTGCTAGTTTGAAAATAGCATTGTTGTAGTATTATTTGGTAATGTGCATATCTGCATGTGAGTTTTTTTTCAGCTCATATGCAGATATGCCCATCTCCATTCATCATAGTATCAAACTAATGTATAGTTAGTATTGATCTAGTTTGTATCTAAATTGTATTTTGTAATTAGTTGTTTATCTTTCCCATCCTGTAATTGGCTTCGGCTGTTGGATGGCGTATGAATAAAAAAATATTAGTGTGTATTCATGAAAAGCGGGACACACGGTATACAGGGTGATGCAAAATTCGATGTAAATATTCCAAGGACGTATTGTTGGGATCGAAAACGACTATTTCTTCATAAAAACATGTGTTCTAAAATGCACCTCCTGCCAAGTGTGGACCCCCCTCCAACTTCCCGAAAACGGGGTTTAAAACGTCTAAAAAGACAGATGCATGTCAATTTTCAGAAGATTTTATCCGTATTTTAGTCTTATTTTGATCCCAACAATATGTCCTCGAAATAATCACATCCAATTTTGAATTACCATGTACATGGAGAACTGAATGAAGCATGATCCTGAAAATTGGTAGGGACTTTGAAGAATCCAACTAAAATATTTTCATTATTGTGAAGCTTTTGGTTTACCCGAAAGTGACGTCATCTTTGTTAGTTTCAATGAGACACCCTATATTTCACATTTTTGGATTCCTCTCTTGATTTTGATTCAATTACATGTATCATATACCCTATACCTGAAATGAACCGTATTTGATTTATTCGAGTTTTTCTCGAAAAAGTGACGGATGCAACCTATCAGACATACGCCATTTTCATCTGAATCATTATTTTTAGTAATATACAGGAATAACAAATGATAAAGAGGTTGAACGGATCACTCACCATAATCAGATCACTGAATAATATACGAGGTGCGCAGACAAGTGGGTCCAGAAAGTGAATGTGACACAAAATCTCCATTTTTCAAACAGAAACCCCCAATTTTTAGATGAAAAAGCAATGAAAGTCCCAAAGTCTGTCGACCACGAGAAATTGTTTAATAAGTAGTGTAACTAGTTAGCCACAGGTCATCATCAGACACAAAAATGATGTATTCAGAAGTACCGAAAAGATAATTATGGGCATTGTTAAGGTGTCAAAAAGAGTCAAAGAATCGATATACCAATCTCAGCAATACATCAAGTGGAGGATCTGTACAGACTTGTTCAAGGTACAGAGATAATGGGGTGGGCACAATAAAACAAAATACTAGGTAAGATACAATGGGCCACCAGGCCTAAGTGTCGTCAAAGACATTGGTCAGACGAGCATAAAAGCGAGGTGGATTGTTTAGTGGGTATACCCTGGCTTTACGTCTCGGTTAACTAACTAATCTCACGACAGGAATGAATCACTTCCCACCTCGGTGTGTAATATACTATTATCTGTGGAATGAATTAAAATACCATCGAACAAACATTTTCATATTCCCATGCTTTTATATCATTTCCACAAATGTTAAAAAGCCGGATATATAGGTTTCATCAAATAATGAAAAGGTAGGTATGTGTCTATTTAATTGCATTGTTATATATCCTGTGCTCCTTTTGTCCTATAATGAAAAAATGGTTTCAGTGAAATGTCAGTAGTTTATCAACCAGTAGATATGGGCACTGATGAGATCAACGAACAATAATTACTACCGCAACGTACCACAACTTCCAACATTATTCGTAATAATTATGATGTTATAGAATTTTTATTAATCATGCGGGTCTGTTTTTGTTCAACAAGTCTTCAAGTACTGGGCACGAGACTTTATAAAAGCATGTCTGTTCTCCACAAATTAAAGTCTTGAAGTTATAATTTCTGACGATATCAAAAATGATCCAGGTTGCTCAATAAATTCATTGAGAATTTCATACCGGGTGTACATATGAAAACTTTCCACCCGCAGAATCTCGTTTAGTAGAGGGTTGTCGGAAGATCGCCGAGGAAGGTATAGAATAATTGTGACGGGGGACATGTTTTCACGAAAAAATCACCTTGCTCGTTTCACCCTTTTGCCCCCACTGCCACCCCATCAAAAATTTCAAATGACATAGTAGGTTGTGTGGCACCTCATTGAGAAGACTTTTCAATTCTCTAAACGCCTGTGTCTTCATTTTCGAAATCTAACTATGAGTTCGCGAAATATCGAAGGAAACGTTTGAAAATATCGTCCCTAAAAAGTTGTTCAGAAAATCGGCGAGACACGTGACTGTTGGTGAATAGTTCAACCACGCTCTGTGGTTCAACGTAAGAATTATTAGTCTCGTTGCATCAATTTGAACCCAATGCCCACTCTTAAGTTTGTTGGGATCGTGTCTAAACTGTTGCATTTTTGTTGATTAATTCAAGCGACTATGGTTTTGGAGAAATGGAGGAAATGAGGAAGAACTATTCAATATGGATGTTTCAATAAAAAATTAGAATATTGTACACATGTCGGAGTCGTGAGAAATGCCCACAAAAAATTGTTGGGAATACAAACTTGAACAGTAATATTCACTCTGTATATATGCTTATGTTTATTTTGATGGTCGTTGATCAAGTAGTTTGATTTATATTGTCTAGGGAACACCATGTATTTTATGGATGAAATGTTGCTTGATTTCAACAAAAACATTGCAACAGTTTTCACAAGAGCCTATCGTACGTTAACGACCAGCGACCCACGACCCCAACAAACTTTGGGGTGGGTTTGGGTGCAAGGTTGATGCAAGGAGCTGAATAATTTTCACGTTAAACTATCCACCTAACAGTCACTGTTCACCTGTCTCGGCGCCTCTGAACAACTTTTTAGGGACGATATTTTCAAACGTTTCCTTCGTAATTTCTGATCGTTCGATTTAAAAAATTAAAATGCAGGCGTTTGGAGAATTGAAAAGTCTTTCCAATGAGATGCTACACAACCTACAATGAAATTTTTGTACATGTACCTCTCATAATTATAGTCTTTACCTGTCGCGACGAGAATTCGAGAACCGTTGCGGGAGGGAAGTTTTAAAATGAACACCAGGTATAGTTACGGTCATGTGGGACAAAGATTTCAATGGCTTCTTTCAATTAATTCGTATATTTCGGAAAAAAGTATTGTATTCGATATAGCATTGAGCCACAACTTATTTGAAAATATATGGATTTGAAAGTACTTATGAATATTTTTGTTCACAATATAACTGATGATTCTGCAAGACTGAAATGAAAACAAAATCGGAATACTAAATTTTCTTCAGAAAAATACGCTCAAACCCAACGTCAATCCATAATGGATTTACCGACGATATTCCATTATTTCTATGGCGACGAGAAGCTATTACGAATTCGATAACATATAGGTTGAGTATGATTCATGTGAGAGACTCACACAAAGGGATTTCTCCCGTTAGAAAAACCCAACAGCCGTCTCATTCTCTGGAATATAGAATTAACGAAGTACTGAGTCTGTGAACCGAAGGGCATAGAAACGTGACCAAAATACCGGAATGCGGCACGTACAATGTGAATTTCAGCAAATATTTCAAAGGGCCGCCGCCACACAGAGCAATGAAAATGTCAAGAGACATGCAATTTCAGTCAATTTAATGGAAATGTATATAAATATGAAAGATCGTAAGTCGACAGTGGTTGCAAAAGTCTCCGACAATGAATGTATGTTGTATGATATGCAATAAGAAGCCAGATTATCTTCCTTATAGTTCAATCAACGAACGCCTAAAATTTTCGTACAGTGGTAAAGGCAAGTGTCATGAACATCATAAATGAACAACATACTAGAAGTCCTGAGCCGTAGGGGATGAGCGGGGCCGTAGGGGATGAGCGGGGCGGTATAATGGTCAATGTTTCAAGTTATTCTTGAATAACTCGAAAATCGCGGTCTCTAGCGAAAAATTATAGGTATGCAACATGAACAACATGAAATTTTCTATGAAAACGGTTCCATTCAATTTTTGCCTACAATAAAAATAAGGGATGAGAAAATCGAGAAGTATCAAAAATAGAGTTCAATCAATGGTATGAAATTGGTAGTTAAGGTGAATAGTAACAAGAAAAAACACATTACTCATTAAGAACAAACATATATTGAATGTATACATTTCAATAATTAACAATTAATCGTCTTCGTCATTATCTCATATCCAGCAACGTTGCACCATTCGTACACGTACCATCCCAGCGAGCACAAACATCCCTGGGATGTTTTGGGATGTTAAAAAAATTTAGGCATCAAGTTGTTTTCTTTTGAGACGTAAAATGCACTCCCCAAAGAGGTCTCTGAAGGATATTGGAAGTATTATATACCACAAAGTCTCATGCTTACGTCACAATACGATGAATTCCGATTTGTTTCCGATCTCGTTGTTCTTTAGTATTTAGTTCTTGATCTTGTTCGCATTCGCGTTTGCAGCGTCTGACGCTTACGTTCGCATTATAGCGAAAAATAATAATAATAATAATATGTATAGTTTGTGCTAGATTATACTTCTTGCTA